TAATTGAAACTGAATTCTGCGAGTCATGTACAAGTATTTTGGAACAGAAAAGTGTTTGAAGAAAATTCTAATGACTGAGAAATGCGATTGAGTTTTGTACAATGGAGAAATATGGGTTATGGAAAATGGAATCTTTAAATTCCTACCTTTCTTTCTGTGAGAAACAAACAAATCTTTATTAAATATTTGAATAATTAAACAAAACATCTGATACAAATGGAAGTTAAATTATGTTGCTTAGTAGTAAAATGGTGAAATTGAACCGTCACATCTTCAACTTCAAGATGCCATGAAGAAACCTTCACTTCTGAGCTTCCACATTTGAAATTGTCTCTATGTTAGATGCTCATTTTAGCACAACAAAGAATAAATCAGTATTCCAGAAGTAATAATAAAAAAAATCATTGTTCGTTAACATATTTTGGCTTGCACCTCTAATTTATTTCAGAGTTAGTCACTTTTAACAGTTGTGTTTTATGTAGCTGAAACTGACTGTTTCAAAATGATGTTCATTTTAAATAAATAATAAAAAATGAAATTAAAATATGGAATAATATTATTAGAATTTTTGTATCATCACACAACAACATTTGATTACTGCATAATAAAATGATTGAGGTCAAGAGAAAACAATAAGTCAATCAGTTCACTAAATTCATCACACTATATATTTTGGTCTCTTTTGACTATCATGTGTGTATGAATAAAAACAATAAATGTACTAGTTAATGCTGTATTATATGATGAAAATGGGTCCATTTTTAAACATCATAAAATTAAATACTAAGTTTATGTGTAGGGTTGAATATATAAAAATATATTTGCGATGTTATAGTATTATTAGAATGTATAAAATATATGTATATGTAACTTAAATGGTGGTCATAGTGTGCTATGTTGTGTTCATTTTTTAGGGGGTTGACTGTCTGATTGTAAATTTTAGTTTAAATTGTGTATATAGTTGTTATAATTGTCATGGTGTTAGGATTGGCAGTTGGATTTACTAGACTCTTGAAGATCGTAACTAAAAGTAACTTCAGCTTCATTGCTAATTCACATGCTCTGAATTTCACTGAAGCACACACTGAATCTTCTCAGGCTGCTGTGTCTTCACCTGTTGTCTGGTAACGGCTGCCAACACTGTAGATTCCTCAGTTTCTGTGTCCAGCAGCTTCTGTCCTTGCTGGCTGGCGGTTATCTCACCTCTCAACTAACTCAGCATTGCTACGCAACAGCTTACAACAGTGGGGGTTGCCCCGCTTCCCACGCCTCCACTAGAGGCTACTGTCTTAGCCTTAGGCTCTCTCGGATGGCCTGCTTCTAAGCTCGACTTCTGTGTGACTCTCGACTGACTCGCCTGTCTGTCAGTTGGTTAAATTGTTGCTGGCCTTCTCAAGCATAGTCATTCCTGGCTTCAGTCTCCTTGAGTTCTAGGATAAAGATTTTTATTCCCTCCTAGACATATCCCTTTTTGATATTGGGCCTCCTCTTCGATGAAGAAAGGGTCGGTCTTTCTATGTAGGTGCTTGTTTGTTGCACTGTAGAGTCAGCATGAGTAATCAGTGCTGTCACAGCATCCAGGTCACTATGGACTCTGTGCATCCATTGTCCCTGCATTATACTGTGTAACATTTATACAATATACAGAGGATTCCTGTCATTGAAGGCTTGTGCAGCAGGTTTTGCCTTAACATATGCAACTGCAGTTAGCTGAACGGTCGTAGGCCTGACTGCCACCAAGTTGAAGCCTCTTATATGTCCTGTATCTGGCTTCTCCTTGTCCAGTACGATGTACATTTGAATTACATGGTTTAGGATTAATCCTGGTTGTGTCATTCAAAACTTAGTTATATAGTCATACACATAAGGTATTTCGAAAGGCCATGCTATTTGCGGCCTGGTGTGCACCTATCAAGATTTCCAATGGTGTGGTTTACTCCATTCTGCAGGCGCTGCAATTTCAAGAGGTGAGCATCTGCTGCATGCTCCTAGGTTGGACAGGCATAAGTCATAACTGACCTAATCAGAGCTTTGGAAATGAAAGTTTAATGTCTGTACTGAAATGCCCATATCTGAATAGAGAATAGGCCCTCATGCACGTGCGCAAGGCCTTGGCTACAGTCCTTTTGATATGATGTCTCTGTCATCCTCCTGTGGAAAGTGACACCAAGGTTTGTTACATTATTTGCAAAGGGAATATCTCATCTGTTTAGTCATAGTACATTGTCAGGAACTGTCTTCTGGAGAAATGTATCGCCTAAGATTTGCATTCATTGATCTTTATGTTCCAGTGCTCACACTGCAAATTCACTGCAGTGAGTCCATGTTGCAGTTTGCAGAGAACATGATGTTCATGTTTCTATGTTGCATAAATACAGGTATTGTCCATGAACAGAGAAAAGAGGCGTTCCAGGTGCCAGGGTGGCATCATTTATATATACTGTAAAATACTGGGAAGGATGGACCCCAGACAAACACCTGCCAAACACCTGCCACTATTTATTTGGTGTAGAGAATTTGCCTTGTATGGAGATTTTAAATTGTCTGTCAGGGAGAAAATAAACAATTAGCTTAATGAAAATTGTCAAAAATTATAATTCTGACAATTCATGTAGTAGGCCAGAGTCCCATGTTGTGTTCAAGGCTCTCTTGATATCCAACAACACAGCAGCTGTAGATATATTTTTGAAATTTAGGGTGACATAGATTGAAGTGTTGTAATGTGATCTGTTCAAAAATCAAACTGACTTACATTTAGTAAATTTCTTTCTTCAGTGCGGTTTTGGGTTATTATTAAAACCAGCTTCTGGAATAGTTTGCCCGTAGTGGAAAAGAGGCTGATGGGATGTAAGTTTTGGATGCCATCTTATAACAAACCCTTCATTCTTCTTGATCTTTCCATAAGCACCATGTGTCTGCTCGCCAGCTCCCTTAGGCAATTTTCCTCACTTAGTCTCTTCACCTTGTCCTTGGTCACTTGTATGGTCTTTACTCAACATATCTGTAGTATATATGATGTACTCAAAGGAATCCTATTGTTATTTATTTGTTACACTTGTCAGTGCCATTACATCCTTAATGTTTCCAACTTTTCTTGCAGTGTTCTAATTTCAGATTGTGCCAAATTTCCTGATTTTGGATTATATCCATTCACATATTTCTGATCTAAAGAAATATTTGTTAAATTTGAATATCTTGTTACACATACTGTATCTGTTTTGTCAGTTATTCCCAGTTCTGGTCTTACGTAACCTTCCTTATGGTATCTCGGGGGTTCTGTGGAGGAGGCTCCTACTGAATGTGGGCAGAACCTGCAACTGATCACAGTCCCAAAGTCTTTACTGTGGCAGAGATAAATGCTACAATTATACTGCATTGAGGATTGCACACAGATCCCAAAACCATGAGTGTTTTAAACTTTCCATATGCTACTCATTAAATTTATTCTAAATATAAGAGGTACAAAGCCCTGCTTATTCAGACATATCAGATGATACAGCTCCAGTGTTGGAATCTGAAGTTGGTGATGGGAAGAGCAAGGGTCAGAATGGAGACAAAAATGGAGAAGTAGGTCAGGGACCTTCTCCACATTATGGCATATATCCATTGTGTGGCCAACCACCCTATCTTGTGCCATCTGTGCAGCAGGATAGTAAACCAAAGGAGAAGAATGAAAAACCAATAGAAAACAAAGGCATGAAAAAGGTCTTCTGTCTTCATTTCACTACATATTCTGAATGAATCTTTCTTGCAATATCTACATTACTATGAAAAAGTTAAATAGTTCCATCCAGTGTGACTGGTTAAGATTTTTTTTTTTTGTGTGTGTGTTCATGCCCTTACATGTTTCGGTCTTCAGAGACCATGTTCAGAGGGATACCTTTACATCAATACCGTTAGAAGGCACTATTACAGTTAAAATGTATACATACAGTATAAATAATATACAATTGGGTGTAAAATCTAAAGTCTTTACAACTACAGTGGCTGTTCCAATACATTAAAATGTTTATAGTGGTTTGATAAGATTCTATTGGAATTCATAAACCAAGCTGGTTCGTGTCGTCCCTCTTATTATTTCTTTTGATGGGGGCCGAAGGTGTGCCAATTTGTCATTCTCGAAACATTAAAGAACCCTCTTCTCAAGAGGCCTAGGCAATGCCCATCTGGCCTTCTGTAGCACATTCTAATAACCATCTTATTCTATAATAGCAGTGGTCCCGCAATTGTTAATATGGATCTTGACTTAAATCTGTGTATACTGTGAATACTCAACGCAATTACTACTTCTACTTTTCTTACATATTTATTTTATATAAATATATGAATGTTGTTTATGAAGTAACAGACACCTTGCAGAAATCTGTTTTCTTCTAGCATGAAGAGCTTGATGTGCATTTACAATTTAATTATATGTATACAAAACTGGCAGTTAGTTATTCCATAGAAACCGTGTTGACTAACTGCACAAGCAAATACCATTCTCATCATGTGCCAGCAGTGTTAATCTGTGTGCTCTGCTGCATACAGAGCACAAAGAACAAAATGCAACAAAATTGGTATTAATAAGTGTTTTTTTTTTAATTATGTTACGTGTAAAATCTGTATTTGTCAGTTTATATGAAGAAGCTTTTCATAAGCTATTATGAAATTCTGTATTACAGTCATGATTTTTGCCAGTTCACTGTAAGGAGAGATGTTTTAGAAAAGGAAACTGTCCTGTAAGAGCGATAAGATGATTGTGTCTAAACACAGTAGGTGCCAACAAGTCATGCAAATAGCAACGTTTGTGAACATGACTATCTTATTACTAATAATTAATTGTATTTATTCAATGCAATGTATGAGTACCATCATGCATTGAAATGTGCACTTAATTTAACATTCCAAACAGGCAAGCAAGCAAAGAAGCAACAAGGTTTTGCTGTCCTTCCTGACCCAAGGGCCATTCAAAAAGCATTGTTGAAGCATTGAAGACTGGCTTGGAAACCATGTCATACCTGGCAGGAGCAGGGGTCGACTGACTGTCAGGGGAAGCTGTTGTAGGTCTTAATCTGCCAGGAGAAAGAAGTACAGAAACAAGAGTAAATGAAAAGAATAAATCATAAAGCACCCCGTTTCCTAGAAAAACTGTCGAAAGAGATTTAATTTATAATGGTTTGGAATCTTGGTTTATAATTCATAAATAAGCATAGTTTCAGTGATAAGGTATGCAGTTTGAAGAGCCATTTTAAGTGGTACTAATGTCATCTTTTAGCATATTTTCTTGTATCTGAATAACTGTTATGCTTTTGTGGGAAAAGAATTTCTTTGTTGAAATTATTACCCACCTATCCATAATGAGACTGGGATTACAGTAAAAGTTCTGTATATACAGTGCAGGCATAAAAATTGTGAAATGAAAGTATCCAAATTTATTATAAGAGAAAGCTGATAAGTATATGCTACTGATTACATTTCTTTATATGCAGCTTCAACATTAAATCAGTAGTTGTACTATCTTTTTTGTTCTTGTCATTTCAGGCCTTTACACTGAGTGTTACTGTCAATCAAACAGCTTCATATGAAGGACTGATTTAGTGTGAAATTTTTAACAGATAGGTGTTCAACTTGAACACTCTCAAGAAACCATTAAGGAAACATTTACTGTCTCTCTGCTAAATTTTAGAAATAGAAAAATTTATCACAAATATTTCTGAGAGAAAGAAAATTATGAAGCTATTTGAAATTACTTCTCTGGCTGTATGAATGTTAGTCTTCTGCAGAAGGCCTTACTAAGCTCATTTTTATGATACTGCATTGAAGTTTGCTGTGGTAATAAGTAAGGAATTACTTGAATAGCAATCATTATGTAATAAAATAAAAGAAAATCCTTTGCACTTCTAGAAGAAAGTTCTTTGAAATGTTTTATAAATATCGAAATCCCTTGTATTTTCTTTTTGGATAGTTATGGGGTTATTTTGTCTGATGTAAAAATTACTAAAAAAGTACCTAATCGGCAGTTTTTCGTTGCATCCTGCATTTGAGTTGGTATCTACAGCATCAGCACAAGAAGTAGGTTTCCTTTGGCTACTGCTTCTTGACCTTGCTCTATTGTTGATGGAAACATCTGATTGTTGGACAATTGAATTACGTGATAGCCCAGAGTTCACATCATCTGCCTCAACCAGGCTGGCATCATAAGAGGATCTCAAGGCTGAAGATGAGGGTGTAGGATTTGGTTCATTTCGCGAATCACTCCGTTGTGAGGATGTAGAAATTTGGGCAGAAGGAGATAAAACAGTCTCACTGCCAGCATTTTGAGATAAGTAGCGTGGAGTTTCTGATGTTGAGCGAGATACCAGAGTTTCAGGTTGTCTAGACTGAGGAGTTCTAGAAGAGACTGCAGATCTTTGGCTACTGAGAGGCTCTTGAGAAGTGTTTGAGTCACTAGAGAGGGATGATGCAGATTCAGACACAAGCCTTGTTCTTTGTACTGGTTCACTGGCATCTCTTTGAATCTGACTTTGAAATTTTGTTGAAATCTTTGGATCAGTTCTAAAACCACTATGTCCACGTTCCTCGTCACGTCTAGGAGTAGCATTATTCAATGTGAAAGAATTTTCAATAGCACTGATCTCGGCTTCTAGTGAGAAAGCCTTTGAAGTTGGGCTTGTATTGCCTCCAATTGTAAAAGATTTGGTAGCAGTACGTCGAGTATCACTCTCCTTACTTTTTGAACTAGCACTTTGACTGCCTGATCTAGAAGTTCCTGACAACGAAGCACCGAGTGTGACTCCCTCAGAACCTCGTCTCCCAGTTGCTGTTTCTGTAGAGGGATCCAGGGAAGTTCGACGGGAAGAACTCCTAGATCTGGATGGTTGAGTTGGTTTGGATGTTGCAGTAGAGGAAAGTTCAGCAAGAGATGAAGATGGAGCTAGTGTTATTCTGCGAGACTTGGGCAGTACGGAATTGCTTTGCCGAGAGTTTGTGTTGGTGGCTTGCCTTGAGTTGGATTTGACTTTGGAATCCTGTAGTGTGAGTAGGTAAGGTGTATCGAAGTCCGGGACATTAGGGAAGATGGTGGTGCTTGTCCATATAGGTGTTGCCTGATCTTTAGGTGATGAAGTGGCTATGGCTGCTAGCACGGCGTTGTACTTCTTGTTGTTTGGAGTGATTGTAGGATCCACCCTAAGTCTCGTCTGTGGTCTGCAGAGGGACATGAGGCACAAGATACATATGAGCATAGGCTCTATATCTACAGATGAATTCTGGCATTGAATTTCACTGCTATGTAATGCCTCATCACTCAGCAAACAAGGAAGAATCAAGCTCTTTCTTTATGACATTTTAATAAACCCTAAATACACATACTGTGGATTACAGCTTTTCAATTATGAACTTATGGACATTCTTTATATGAAGTTACAAGATCTTGCCCGCATGTCAGTTTAAGACTTGGATTTATAATGAAATATTATGTTGTAAAATCTCATAAGTCTGAATGGATACTTCTTAATATCTATGGTAAATAAAGTCTCCCATGTCACTTTAAGGCTTAAATTAACGTTTCTTTGTATTTCTTTCAATATTGAACCAAAAATATCTCTTGAACAAAAGACGGACTTAATGAGGTTAAGTCCTTCTTTGTGTATAAAGAAACAGTAACATAACGTCATCTCCACATCAGTCATGCCAAGTTTGTGGGAACACTGATGCAGGCACCACTCGATGATTTGTAACACTGTATCTGCACCACTTGTAACAAGTTCAGTGGAATGCTGAGGGGAATGCCACTACATATCTTCTTGGCAGTAGGTATGTGTTCGTGTGAACTTCGCATGCAGAGAATGTGAGAAGTGCAATAGAAAAGTGTTTTTATGCAGTGAATTTTCTAGACAGTGCCACTATGAAACAAATGTATGCATAATTTGTCAGTCTGACTGGACAGGATGAGCACCGAACTCTTCTGCCTGAGTGTGCACCAGGAAAGAAACTTGCTGTTTTTGCAAGGATGCATGATGTCTTGCTTGCACTGTCGAGCATGCCATGGAAGAGAGGAAACATGCTATATCTAAATGTCTGATATTCTTGTTTTTTAGTTTTCCCAATCATTAATTTTACAAAAGTAATCTGCATGAATTTTGTGATTGGCCGATCCCCATCCAAGGAGTCCTACTGACTGTGTATAGGATCTAGAAACTGAAAAAGCTTCCAAGGCGTAACAAAGGGCTGTAGAGTCATAATAACAATGATGATGATGATGATGATGATGACAATAATAATAATAACAATAAAATAATCTGCATCAAGTTACACAATGTGACTGAATGAATTGTAATTTCTTCAATAAGGCTATGTAATATATGAATGCAGAGTTGAATTACAAAGTAATGTATGCCTGTATGAATTATATAAGCATGCATCATTACACTCTTGTTTATTACAAATAAATATTGATGAATCGTCTATAGTTCTATGTAGTATTTGTTGTGATTATTTTCTACATTCAATTCACCGTGAATGGTTTTCTATTCATGACATGAAGTATATTTGATTTTAAGAATTTTCAGTGTGTGCTACCTTGTACTGAGTGATAGGGCATTAATAGCTATTTAGAAGTGAGATGAGTAGCAATTTTGTAATTCTAATGTAAATTTATTTCCTTATGATTTTCTTTATTTCTCTCTTCCTTTCTAGTAGGAACAACAATAGTACTACTAATGTGATCCATCTACTGCAACACATTTACATGTTAATATGTTCAAAATAATACAAGGAAAATTGCATAACTTTGCCAGTTACAGGTTAGTAGTTTGCAGATTTCATTATGCATTTAAAATTTTAAAGCATAGTTCATTCAGTCATAAAGCTGACTGTAATTCTGTTCTTTAAGAATAGCATTTACAGTGTACTGTTCTCTGTATAGTCACTATCTTACACTGTAAGCCTCACACATTCGTATTATATTACATTACAGTCCATTTGTTAATGTAATTCTTTTTCCCTTAGAGTAGATTCAGAGAGAAGCAAAGAGGGAACCAAACTTTATTCTTGGCATAATTATTAAGGCTCATGGACTGCAGGTTTGCTATTCATGGAGATATTCAGGAATGTAACTCTGCAACTAGCAAGGTCTGTTTGTACATACATAGAATTTCTATATTGTGTGTGGTGTAAGTATAATGGATGCTGTCTTTCTAAATGTTTAAAAAATCGACTGCAACCATGTTGTTGCAGTGGCAGACAACACAGTGACAAGCTCATGTATTTTATTTTATTTACTGGACAAAGGGAAAGAACCCCTTTCAAGTCTGGGATTCTTTGAAATTGGAACAAAATTGTTGCAAAGTCTAACATCTGCTGCAATGACTGAATGATAGTGGCGCCATATGGGAAAATACTCTTAAATGTCAAGAGGCTTCTTCATTTTTCTTCGGAGTTTTTAATTACTGTAATTGTAGGTAATCTTTTGCTTGCCCATATTTCTGAGCAATACCTTGTAGGAGCTACTGTTGTGATGATGGTTGATGATGCTGTGGTAGTTCTTACTGTTGTGATGATGGTGGTGATAGGAGGAATGGTTGCTGAAGATGTGCTTGACAGTTGTGGAGCAAAATTCAGTTCATTCCTGTCATTGCTGTGCATGAGAAAATTGTTGCCAAAAGAAAATCCACTTTGTTCATATTTGTGTCAGTAAGTAACGTAATAGTTTCAAGGGCTCTTGTATGAGGATGAGAGGCACTTGATGAATAGAGTTCAGATGAGTTATATATACGTATATTGTAAAATATTGTCATGTGTTGGTTGTATGGCACGCGACAAATAACTTCACACCGTATTGGATATAGTGAATTTATTCCACTCGCTCTCACAATTCACAATTTTCCAACTACTGCCATCAGCAGTATAACTAATACTCCTCCTGCTATCGGCTACTGCTAGACTTCAACTGCACTTAGCGACTGCTAGCCTGCAACTGACTGGTTACTCTCTAGTAACTTGCTCACTCACTACTGAAGAGTGTTTGCTGCTCGTTGTTTAGGCTCAGCATGGACAACACAGAAAACAGTTACGTGATAGGTACGACTGTTGCGTAACATCGTGTTTACCGATTGCCTAGCAACAGTTGTTGCATGGGTTCCCCTGTTGCGTGACGCTGTGTTTACAAAGATGTTGCTGGGTAATGCTGCCGAGAGTTGTTTATTGCTGCATAGCAACCGCGGTGTCCCCTGTTACATCACTGCAGGGGAGGGGGTGTTTAACGAGCGTTGTGCCATCCACGTCACACTATCATATAGAGTTCTGATCCAGATTTCTCATTGTTACAGAGTTTTAGTATTCATTCTGACTTAAAGAGTTTTTTTTTTTTCTGTGTTGTGTCTCAAAACAGACTTTACAGCCTCCTTGCATGATTTCAAGAAGGACAGTGACATTGGTCTGTATAAAAAAGGTAATACACAAAATTAGCAAGGATTCATTCATGCTTCACTCAGTAGACTCGTACTCTCTGCAATAGTATAGCAGCTTTTGAAAGTGGTATATTTAAGTAAAGTACTAAATGATGTTATAAATTAATTTACACTTGTGGATATTAACTTTCTGTAACTTTCTAATACAGTCTCAAGCAATCCATTATTTTTAAGCCTTTCTGCGGACATCAGATATGTAAGAAAGTTATCTATGTATGCAAGAAAGTAGTGCAGCACATATTGCAGAAAATTCTGAGGCTCTATGGAACATTTGATGAACATATAATCAATAGATGACCAGCATATTCCCTATAATTGACCAGTTGCAATTTATATCTGCACAGTGCAGCAGAAATTATCTGCTTTATCCGATGGTCTTAGGAAATGAAATCTGATCTGCTATTCTGGAAATCTAATGATAGGATAGAGCTTGTGACATGATACATTGTCTGAGCACACAGGAAGAGCAGTGTAAATGACAAAGACTAACTTTCTATCAATCGGAGTTTTTCAGCTACATTTTCTGTTAATGTGAAGAAACTGATGTGTTAGAAAATTATTATACAGAGAGTGTTTTGTTGACTGGTTCATGGCTCTTCGCTTCATGGCGACTGGGACAACACTGGCTGCAAGGCGCATATGACTTTTGCCATATGCTTGATGGCCTATAACATTTGGAATGAAGACAAGTTGTCAACTCTGTGGCCCTCTCTTCACGGCATTGTTTTCACAGTGAACAGTGTGCTTCATGTGAGGGATTTTGTTTGTGATTTGTCAGCTGTGGGTGGCAGTTATCAGCTCCATTAGTCATTTGTTCTCAGTTACACTTAGTGAGCAGTGTGTTCCGTCATAGTGAGGTATTCTTTAGAGTAACGTGTGCTCCTGTATGACACCTACATGAAATACAGATCTGCTAGAAGGTGTCAGTGAAAATGTAGATGTAAATTTTGTGATGAAGAAGCACCTAGCAAACACAATTAGCAACTTAGTGAATAAACTTAGGTCAGTGGGACTCTTAATAGACAAGAAATAAAACATAAGCTCTGAGTACTTACTAAGAAAAAGTTAGCTGGCATAGAAGCCTGACTTGAACATACACCTAGAAAATCACTGAAACGCCTATCTCAAGTGACTCAAGTGTCACAGTCTAGCGCAAGAAGGGCAACACAGTTGCTGCTGCTTAGGCCCTATAAATCAACAGTAATTTATGCAGGCCTTTCAGCCACGTGATTCAGCTAGCAGGGTTCGTTTTTGCAGTAGGCTTCTACAGTCTGTCGCCAAAGGTGAGATCGATCGACAGTTGACATTATTTTCTGTTGAAGCATGGTTTCACTTGAAGAATTACATAAATACGCAAAATAATCGCTACTGAAGTTCACAGAATCCACATCTAAACCACAAAGTCCTGCTCCATCCATTGCAAGTTGCTATCTGGTGTGCTAAATGCAAGAAGAATTGTTGGACCAGTGTTTTTAATGAAACAATTTATAGTGAAAGATATATACGTGTAGAAGGACAACATTTTCAACACCTCCTATGATCTGTGAATTGTAACTTCTTCATTCTGAACATTATCAGTCAACAGGCATATCAGTTCATCAGCAAAATTTGTATATGTCTCACAGATAGCGGTGCACCAGTTGCCGTGAAACACAGAGCTGTGGAAGCAGTCAACAATCTAAGTATCCTCCCTGTATAATCTTCCTCTTAAAACACTTTCCATATTTGTATCAGAACTTGTAGCAAGGGAAAATGAAACTCTGAAAGAAGCAATGCCCTTCAGCTCTCATAGTATGCAGGAGCCCTTGAAGTTGTAAACTTAGCAAATTTATCTTTTTAACATTTTTACTACCTGGGAGGACTATTCTGCCCTCTTGAGACTCTTTGCTTTGCTGCCATGGAGGATACACTTTTGTGATCTCACAGTTGATATTTTACCACTTCACCACCACATGTTTGTTGAACAGCATACAATATTTAAATATATACAGCCATTGCTGTCTTATACATTGTTACAGACATGTTGCGATGGAGTAAGAAGGTGCCAGACATAATAGAATATTTGCTGTGACTGTGAATTCTATTACAATGAGGGCATAGTGATGAGACAAAATACTAGAACTTTAAGACTTCACACAAAATCATAGTCAGTGTCGCATGTTCCCAAAACCAACCAAACATTACAGACTACATACAGATATTAATGAAGTTAGCACAAACATAACTTGTTACATGCTTGAATTTACAGTTAATGTACTTTTACTTGTAAATTCCTGTAGTCAGTATTTATATACCTTTATAAAATTAACACTAAACTGAACTTAAGCATTTTAGTAAATTAGATTCAGTATGTCTTTAATTTGAGTTACTCTGGTCTGACTTTAGTATTGAACATCAATGTTCATCATTTAATTTGAATCATCTTAATTATGAATCTTCATATTGTTCAGTGTGATATCATACTGTATGTAAATTCCCCTGGAACATGCAGATAATACAGAGCTGAAACACTCACCGGGATGACGACTTGTTAGGTTGACGGACTCCAGACTGCTGCTTGTATTGTGTTTGGTCATCAGCCTTAAGTATAAAGAAACAGAAAAATAAACTGTAGACTTTAGTAAAAAATATTTCAAAATGTTGGTCTGAGAGACACACAATATAGTTCAGTACCGCATCATGTTTCATCACTTTATACCAATTTCAGGTAATCTCCAGTGTTTCTGTTTTGATCAATGCTATTAATCAGTGCATGTGTAATTCATACTCACAAAAAGAGCGGAAACCGGAGTGGACTTCAGGGTAGTTGTGTGGATACATGAATTTCTTTCAGGACGCTCACAGAGAGTCAGAGTAGACGGGCACCTATCTGAAGAAGTCAGAGTGATGTCGGGAGTGCCGCAAGGGGGCGTTTTAGGACCGCTACCATTCCTGGCTTATGTTAATGATATTTGGAGGGACACTGACTCAAATATACGGTTATTCGCAGATGACTGCATAATGTACAGGAAAATATTGGATAGTAGTGACACTGGCAAGTTGCAGATGGATCTAAATAAATTAGGGGAATGGGCGGTAGTAAACAAAATGAAGATAAATCCAAATAAGAGTAAAGCGGTAAGTTTCACAAGAGCTAGGGTGAAGGATCGTCTAACGTATTATTTTGGGGTTCAATTAATTCCAGAGGTAAATACCTTCAAATACCTAGGAATAATCATACAGAGTGATTTAAGATGGGCAGATCATGTAAACTATTCGCTACAAAAAGCATGGAAGGCTCTCCATTTAATAATGCATATACTGAAACAGAGCAATAATAACATGAAATGTCTAGCTTGTGTGTCATTAGTGAGACCGATACTTGAATATGGTTCAGTATGTTGGGACCCATACAGAGAATGGCAGGTTAGCGCTTTAAATAGGGTACAAAGAAGAGCAGCTAAATTTGCCAATCCTACAGATGAATCTGGTTGGGAAACTGACACAGCATAGACAGATAGCTCGTCTGTGCGACCTCTACAAGGCGTACACCAGGAGACCGGCTTGGAAAGCGATAAGGGATAGCCTGCTTAAACCATGCTCCCTTAGTATAGGGACAATCATAGTTGGAAAGTTAGGAGTAGGAAACAAAGAACAGATGTTGGCAAATATTCCTTTGTAAATAGGATCATAAAGATTTGGAACAGTTTACCTGCAGGCATACTAGCGTCTTTCCCCTGTAAACTAAACACTTTTAGGAAAAGGGTTAGGAAAGCTGTTGCAAGTACAGAGGCCTTAGGCAGAGTTGAATGAGTCAAGTGAAGTAATGTGAAATGTCCTTGTTCGAGTGCAGTGAAACGAACACAAGCACGTGCCCTTTTATAACTATTTGTTTAGATTTACACTGTGTGTACCTTGTTTATTGTATGTTAAAAGAGTTTTTGTGGCTCAGAAAAGAGCAATTAGAGCAATGTGAATGATGAAGCCTAGAAGTTCTTGTATGGAGGTTTTCAGAGAATTAGGGATACTTACAGTTCCCTGTTTGTTTATGTATGCCATGGTCATGTTTGTAATTGAAAACAAAAATAATTACAAATAATAGTGTACATAAAATTAACACTAGAGTACAAAATAGACTACATGTCACGTCAGTTAGACTATCCATTATACAAAAGGGAGTGTGTTATACATACATAAAATTTTTTAATAATTTGCCACATAAATTATATATTTTAAAGGTTAATGTTAATTTATTTAAACAAAAACTGAAAGACTTTCTTATTTTGAAAGCTTTCTATTCTATTGATGAATATATGGCAAATACCTAATTGTATTATATTCCTATTGTATCTAGGTTGTGTCTATTTGGACTTGGTTGCATATCACAACTACTTTTAATTAATCTGACGAGGTCAATATCCGGCCCAATACGGGCAATGGATCTGTGAAGCTATGTATGTATTTTGTTTTGTATTGTTCCCTTATAAACTTTCCTTGTCTGTATCAGTGTGAGTTCTACTGCAACAGGGTGAACACCCAATTGCAGTAAAATAATAATAATAATAATCAGCCTTTAGTTAAACACACTGCTTTGTTACAAACTTGTATCTTTTCATCTAGTGTTACTGAGCTATGTGGCCTGATGTATCCTGAGGAGCTTCATAATTTGTACCCACCAAATACTATTAGGATGATGAAATCAAGGAGGTCAGGATTGGCAGGGAATAGCGTGCAGGAGAGAGAAGAGAAACACACACAAAGCTTTGGTAAGAAAACCTGAAGAAAAGAACCACATGGAAGATTAGAAATAGATGGGATGATAATGGTAAACTTGATCTTGATGAAGTAGAATGGGTGGCATTGGTTGGATTCATTTGGCTCATGACAGGGACCAATGGGGGTCTTGTGAAAAGGGTAATGAACCTTCAAGTTACATAAAATTCAGGGATTTTCTTGACTATCTGAGCAACAGTTAGTTTCTCAGGAAAGAATGTGCTCCATGGAGTTAATTACTGAGTTCATATGTGCATCAGTTACTAATAAAAATGAGTTATAATTCTGTTACAGTAGTTGCTTCTCATTAGTTAAGCGATCAAAAATGGCCTTGATTTTATGTGTTTGTAAGTAACTAGTTTGAAGGAACGTGATTTTGGTTTGTGGATAGTTTCTACTGTTGTTTCTCGAGTCCTGATAAAGGTAAAATGTAAAGCCATCCCAGTAACAGGCCTTGAAGGCACACAGGGTTGTGGGATGTTGAGGGTCCCACATTTTCTCTATACAGTCTGCTCACAAGATGGTGGTAAGGTTGTAAGCCTTACACACTGGCTACCCTTTACTCCCCCAGGCAGATTCCTGGTACTAATTTCAGTTAGAAGCTGCGTCAACCCCAGGGCCATATTGTGGCTGGAAGAATTAGGTAAATTGAAAAAATCAACCTCATCGGGACTTGAACTCACGACTTTTCAGCTTGTAACATAGTGCCTCTACCAGCTGTGATATCACTTGGGTGGTTTCTGAATTTTTGTTGCTGTAGGCAGTCTTTCCAGTGCTGTGCTTTTGTACTAAGGGCGTTCCGTATATAATGCCTCCTATTTTTTTTTAAGAAAACTACAACAGATACAGAAATCATAATAACGCAGTTAAATAGAGCAAGATTTCAGCTAGTTACAGCTATGTTTCCACATAGTCACCACCATTCATTATGCACTTTTGCCATCGATGAACAAGAGCCTGTATGCCACGCCTGTAAAAGTCTGCGCCAGCAGAGGCTAGCCACTTTCTTACAGCTGCAATTACAGCATCGTTGTCTGGAAAATGTTGCCCACGTAGTCCGTCTTTCATAGGCCCGAAGAGATGGAAGTCTGAAGGTGCTAAATCGGGGCTATAAGGTGGATGTGGTAGGACAGTCCAGCCAAACTTTGCAATGTGCGCAGTGGTCGCCAAACTGGTATGGGGTCTAGCGTTATCGTGTTACAAGCAAAAGGTTGTGTGCTTCTCTGGCCTGACTCGGGAAATACGGGCTTTCAGCTTAGTCAGCTTCGTCTTGTAGCATTCAGAATTGACAGTCCCTGGTCATTATCTGCTGATCTGTTTGGATGAGGCGCTGTTCATTGTGAGGAGTGGCAGCTGAGCAGGGATGCCCATGGCGTGGCTTGTCGTGCACCTCACTTTCACCACTGTTGAAATGCACTGCCCACCGAATCACTGTGCTGACATCCACTGTATTGTCTCCGTACACCTTTAGCAAGTGTCGATGGATGTCAATGGGTACAATTTGTTCGGCAGTGAGAAATTCAATAACACATTTCTCTTTCATATGCACTTCTATGTCAGACGCCATTTTGGTAGACTGCTCTGCCGTCGCTATCTGTCACATGACAACCAAACTAATAGTACATTGGCGGGAAGGTTCAACCTTTACTACAACACCACCAGCATCCAGCTCAGACGTTACATATTAACACAAAAAAATAGGAGGCTTTATATACGGAACGCACCACGTACATTGTTTGTACAAAATGCAAGAAATAGTACAGAATTGGGAAGTCATGCCCATCCATATATCTGTTCTCTGAAACCAATGAACAGATCTTTATGAAAATTAGTATTATTGAGCATATCTTGGAAGTTGTTAAGCAAATTTTATTTTGTTACATACATATGCAGTGTCACCTCTACTTTAGATGAAGCTGTAGATTGATGATGAAGATTGACTGTACATGAGTTCAGAACTGACAGTTGTCTTTATCACAGATTGCAGTAAGCAATACTGAAATGATGGGGAAATAATTTTCTATTGAAACCGTGTTCAGTATTTGGAGTGTATGAGAATATGTGAAGAAGAGTACTATTCCCAAATATGACTCTTTGTTGTGTTGATCTAGGAGGTTTATTTCCAACCATGTGCTCAACCTTCCTGTATACCCCCATAGTGGCATGTTATAGGTAACTGTGTCAGCCTACAGGATAAACCAGATGTAGTGAATAACATTGCCACTTGGCAAGGATAGTGTGGGAGAGAACTGTGACAGAAAACTAGGCTGGTTTAAACAGTTAAAATAGCAACCACATTACTAAAATCATACAGTGATAGCCTCATTTTTTGTCATCAGGACACAAAACAAACTAAGCATTGCTATTGCATGAACATTTCTTAGCTTAAGTGTTAATGATGAGGACTTGTATTTCACAAAAGAGGCGAATATAGGGACAATGCAAAAATTATCCCATTGGGCAACAAATATAGTGATCTAGAAGTAAATAAAGATAAATTTAAATGTATTCAAAGATTATTGTTTACTAGGATGTTCTGCCATGTAAACTGTTAGATTTTTACCATTGTTCTTGAGGAATGTGGTTCCACCATCTACTATTTTTCTGCCCAGAAGATGGATCCAGCATTCTGCCAATTTTTTGGTAAGAATCTACTGGACTACATGGTGTCCATCCAGAAGGCACTGCCTTTCATAGACAAAGCTCTGAGATACTGAATATTGCATATGTTTATTCATGACACAACAAAAATTGGCAGTAGTGCCATGATGTACATGCTTATAATAAATCGTCTGAAAAGATTTGAAAATTGAAGTATCTGGGGACAAGAATGGCAAATATAGATGAGATTCATGATGAAATTAGGTGAAGAATAAATTATGCGAATTCTTGTTATTATTCCATTGAAGAATTATCATGTCTACTTTCCAAAACGCTGAAGATTGAAGCCTTATAGAATAGTAATTTTTCCACTTGTTTTGTATTGGTGTTAAACTTTGTAAATTACAAGTATTTGAAAATGAAATGGTCAGGAAAATATTTGGTGATTACAGAGATGGAGTGGGAAATTTATGTCTAATCCCTGCTCAGAAGTAAGAACTTGTGAATTAGGTTTGTGTGTTGTGTCCTCTGTGGGTTGCCTTCTCTCAGAACGTAACAGATTTCAAAGAGCAGCACATGTGCATCAAGTTTAGCTTCAGACTGGACAAAACTCCTATAGAAACCTACTAGATGTTAAAATTTGTTTTCAGAGAGGAAACAAGGAATGACATTCAAATAATGTTATATTTTAGCGTCCTGTTGCACTGATTTAAGTTCATGATTTGTTTAATCCGTCTTGCAGTGCGTACACTTATCTATCTTCTTCTCTCACTCTCACNCCTGAACAGTTTTAATATTTTTACGATTGACATTTGTCAATATATATGATGGACATATATTTTAGTTATTTTAAAGTGAAGACAAGGCATACAATGTACTAGTTTGACGTGAATTGAGTAGCACCTGAAGATGGCATTTTTATGCCGAAACATGTAGTGAGAGTGAGAGAAGAAGATAGATAAGTGTACGCACTGCAAGACGGATTAAACAAATCATGGACATTCAAATATTTAATTGTTTTTCCTTGTTCAAAAGTTGAGTGATATAATTTAGTATACTGAGCATTTAGAATATCCATGAACATGTTTCATGAATCTAGGGACATCTTTAAAAAAACAGACTCATCACTATCTGCAACTTGGCTAATTAGGTGGGAATCTCATTTGAATCATGTCAGTGTTTTGACCCAAGATCTTAACATGCAATGGACTGCCGAAAAAGTTGTGTCTTATGTGCTGACTGATGAGCAAGATTACAACTCTATCAGCATGAACATGATTACTCACCTCCATCACATTGAAATCTAGAATGCACAGTGTTGCTTCTGTGCCTTCCATATACTATTGTAGCATGGTGCTTGGTCATAAGGACCCTTTACCTTCATTTGAAAGGACGGTGATAAAAATGCAAGAGAATTATGGGTAATGGAAAAGGTCAAATAATGAGAAACTTTGTGATTTATCCTGTTGTACTAGTAGTGTAGGAATACATATATGAGCTGATGATGGCAAAACACATGTGTATAGAATTTAGGTAGATATATGATTTGGAAAATGGCCAGCTGGAAGTCTGAAGTGGAGATGAATGTAGCAAATCTTAGGCAAATGGATATCAGTATAAGTAGACTGCATGATTTAGGTTAGGATCGAATGCCAGTTCTTTTTAATTGTATTAGTGGATCATAATATTAAAGAGTTATTTTAATCGTATGAATCAAACAGTTCCATCAAATATAGAGTGCTGTTATGAAAATATTCTCTCCAGAGATAGGGGCCTGGCTCTAGTGATTGGGCCCAACTGAGTAGGTTCCACCTGAAGACATAGACAAAATCCACTCTCTGAAACATTGTGTGTTTTAAATAAAAACAGGACAATGGATAATGTCCAGACACACAACAATTGTATTAATATACCATCGTCACAGACTTTTAGATTTTAAAATATTCTGTGTCTAAAAAATTCCAGTAGTAATAAGGAAAAATAATGCATTTTCATATTCTGTTTTGAGATACCTCATGAATGGCTAAATCTGGTATGGGTGAATTTAACACAAAGCTGACTGACGCTGTTCTTCATTATCAATGAATTACTCACCGCTGTATTGTAGTTTTCGTTATATTCTTGTGGATCTATATTCTGCACATACACGTCTTGCTGAGTGTTGTGGCTGGGTTGTGCATAGGCTGCGTTTGTCTGCCCCTGTTGTGTCAGTCCTTGAGGTGGTTGTTTGTAGGGGCTCTGGCCTCGATATTGTGGCTGCTGGTTGTTTGCGTTAGTTTGTCTGCTTCCCTGATTGCTGGGGAACTGAGTGTAGTCTGTTGTAAAGAACACAGAACCAATTAATTAATTTTATATTTTATATAATTAATATTATTGTATCCAATTTTACTAATACTGCAGTTCAGTGGTGTATATATGTTAGCCATGTATTTGCCTGATGATGGCTATTAATAGCCGAAACATATAGGAGAGCCAAAACTATTCACTGACCTTGATATAGTTGTGTTGTGACAGTTTTAATAAAGAAGTTGAACCAATTAATTGATACTTTATTTTATTAATGTGGTGAGAAATAAGGATCCTGCAATCCCACGGTTACAGAGGTAGCTTTAAAACATGGAACCCAGCTATGATCTAGTGCCTGTAGGAGTGGCACATGTGTATATTTCAGAGATTTCTTTTTAACTTCTTGTTCTGAATGTGCTCTTAGGTTATTGACTTATTTCCTTTTTTAACCTACTTGCTTTATTTTTAAAAATAATATTAGGCTTATGAGAGTACCCCCTCTCCCCTAACAACATTTGAATACCATGGAGCTTGTTATATATATATATCATGCCACCTGAGGCCATCTGAATGACCCATCAGTAATACTAGCTATTAAGCCACCGAAATTGAGGTAGGAACTTTAATGTCACTTGAATGCCTTAACTGATTGTCATGAAACTTGGTATGCATACCTTGCCACCCAAGGCCATTTCAACAGCATACTTCATGAACCCCTTGTATCAGTAATACCCACAATGAAGCCTATCAAATTGTTGAAGTTATAACCTTGATATGACTTGAATGCCTGTACTAATCGTCATGGAACTTTGTATGGAAACAGTGTCACATGAGGCATTTTCACCAGTGTATCTCACCAATATGTCCCTTTGGTAATACCACCACAGTGTAGTATTGTTTTATTGACTATATTATGCATATATCCTAAAGTGACTTTTCAGCTTGTATCAAATACACAAAGTGAAAGGAAAGTGGGTGACTAGTTCTTCCCAGAACTTGTTTTATATAAAAAGAAATATATGCCTGTGATATCATTGTGTGTCTATACTCTAATATGAGTAACTTAAATCAGTTGTCTGATTTTTATGAAACTTGGTATGGATATTGTTCCATTCAATATCTCCCCTTTGTACCGTTTACTTTGTAGTCAATAAATCCAGCATGGTGGTCATAGAAACTTACGAGATGTGAGCAGTACTAGTGCTGATGAATGTAGATTCATGAAACTGTGTGGAGTAGAATATATTAGATAACATGCAGTTGAGTGAGTAGTGAGTCTGTCAGCATTCAGTTAAGCAGTGCAGTCAGTAAGTCAACAAGTTGGTTATTGGTGAGTCATATTTTCAGTTTGGTTATGTACAGTGCAAAAGAGTGGAGTGAAGAGGTGAGTGCAGTGGGTGAGCAGTGGCATTGCTGTGAAGTAACGAGTGAAAAGAGAACATCTCAGGAACATTAGTGGTTACAGATGGTGGAACAGTAATTGCTCCCCATATCCATAAACATTACAATGTAATAATTTTATTTCTAATAAGGCTGTCTTTTTGGTGGTATGAAAGAAAGATAAACATCTTTTGTCCTGTAAGATTTGAGGTTTTTACAGCGGTGACTATGAAGAAAGCAGTCTTCTGGGATGTGGCACCATGTAGATGTGGTGTTAACTGACGTTTCGGAGGAACGTATCACCTCCATCTTCAAGGTAGAAGGAAAAATAAGAAAATCTGCAAGCGAAGAGACAGTGAGAACAGGTGCAAGCAGACTAGTGTTGGAAATGAACTCAGCTGTATGAGAGCAGGGAAGGGAGGGGCAAGTCTACATGGGAAATCAGTGGAGAGGGAGAGGGGAAGAGTCTGGGACAGGAGCAAGGTTAGTGCAGGTATAGGATATTGTGTCAGGGTAGAAAGGCAAGGTTAATGGGAGGGCATTAACCCTTAAGCTGGGGCGGGGGGTTGATATGTGAGTCGGTCACAGACTGTGGGGCCTTGTGGATCTGGTGTCATGTCGCTGTAATTTATCTTATTTTATGTATGAAATATGAAAAGAGATGGCTTTATTGCTGTTCCATTTCTGCTCCAGTCATTTCACAATTTACTTAGTAGCCCACACAATTCCTCTGCTATGTAATAAAATCACCACCACCGCCACTGCCGCCACCACCATCACCACCAGCCTGTTTGCATTTCTTGAGTAAAGGAAGTAGGTTCAAGTGAGCAACATGCTATTCATGTACATGTGTGTCACTTGTTCCAGCTTTTGAAACAGTTCACCAATTTTCACAAAATTTGTTATGGATGTTATGTGAATTTAGGCACCTAAACTTTGTACCTTTTAGCTTTGTGCAGCCTGTAATAAAACATGGAAGATGCACGAAACTGAGATCTGAACAATACTAATCACTCATTGTATGATTATGAAACTATGTATAGTAATGTTGAAAGAATATTTAACATTTTTGGAAGTATTTTTTTATAGACTGTGAAACAAAATATTGACTGCATGAAATCTGTGTTCAGCTTTCAGTCTTATGGGCCATAAATAATGACTCACTGGAGATAGTCATGTGAAATTTAGTACTAAGATATTCTGTATGAAGCAGTGCTCATCAGTCAGTAATTATAAACATCACAACAGTATGAAATTTTATGCTTGTGAAGATAGCTGAATATGGTGCCACACACCTTGATAGATATACAGAGTGTCCCAGGAGGAATGTGCCAAACTTCGGGAGGGTGTTCCTTATGTTAAAGTATGCCGATATAACCCAAAACACCTATGTCCAAAGTTGAACGGTTACGGAGATAATGGCCCGAGAAAAGTGTGGTCTTCTAGCGGGTCCACGGATTATACCTATCAGCTGAGAGGAATTATCTCTGAAGAATGCAGTCTTCTGGGATTTGGCACCGTGTATAGAAGACTGCATTCTTCAGAGATAATTCCTCTCAGCTGATAGGTATAATCCGTGGACCCGCTAGAAGACCACACTTTTCTCGGGCCATTATCTCCGTAACCGTTCAACTTTGGACATAGGTGTTTTGGGTTATATCGGCATACTTTAACATAAGGAACACCCTCCCGAAGTTTGGCACATTCCTCCTGGGACACCCTGTATACAAACACTTCAGCTGCCTCCATCATTTTGGTACTCATCTACCCTGAAGATGTAGGCAACAGAATCCTCTGAAATGGCGGTAACTGTCTACCATTTACACAAAGTTGTAATTTAAAAGACAGTGATATTCATAGTTGCTGCTGTGAGAATCTGCAGTCTCACTTCTCATGTTATGTCCAATGAATTTAATGACATTTATAGTTAAGTAATAAGTTGTAGGATTTATGATTCTCACAGTGGGGTGACGAAGACTTCTGTCTTCTGGAATATAACAGCTTGTAGTCCAGTGAAAATCAACCAAAATTTATGAGGAACATGTCTCCATCTTCAGGATGAGAGAGCAAGCCAAGCAAGAAGCCAGCATGAAGCAGGTGGCAAGGAAAGCTTTGAATATCCTTCTGAAATGTTGGTTGACTTGTTACTGAGCTACATGGTGTTATATCCCAGGAGATAGAATTATTCAAATCCAACATAATCTTAATCAAATTAAAATTACAGAATACAAAAAAAAAACCAGAAAAACTTCCAAAATGCTAATTTCTATTGGAAAGGAACATCCAGAATTTTGGTCTGTATGATATATGGTTGCAGAATATACAGCTGTAATTATTTTGTTAGCATTAATATATCCTTGCAAGTGAATATGATTTTTTAGTTTCAGGAAATATGCATTCTTAAAACAGACTGAGTTATTACTGTTGTTGGTTCGTTTGTTGTTATTATCTTAAAATATAAACATTACATGCATGTTCTGTTCAGACCAAGAAATATGCATTATAGTAGTGATGTCAAACCACTGGCATCAGTGCCGAATTTGGTGCTGACTGGGATGTCTGTTAGTGTTCATGGTCACAGGTTTTACCTATGTTAATATCTGGAGCTGCTTAATAATTAAGTAGTTCACCAATTCAATTTCACAATATATATTTTTGCTATCTTCATTGGGTGCACCATGTTGTGCGTTTCAGACATATATATGTATATAGGAATTAGGTTAACTCTCACACAACAAATATACTCTAATTTTAAAACATTAGAAGCAAGTATATTTGTTGTATGATGGTTAACCTAATTCCTATGTAGGAGAGTGTGTGTGTGTGTGTTTTTTTTTCTGTTGTATGTTTACCCGGTTTAGTCTTTGTTAACTAAGATGTAAGTAACACGCTATAATCCTTTCCCCTTAAAATCACCTATCTGCCCTGAATATATTCGGTGTTTGATAAGATCAATAAAAGAACAACTCAGCAATTAAAGGTTTTCAAGAACATATATTGTTTGTTCATAAAATTGCACTGACTGAAAAAATGTTTTAAAATAAGCATGAAAATTATTAATCATCATGATACTGTATATGGCATAATTATAAAGGCTGATATTCACAATATCACATTTCATATCTGTCCACTTACCAACATCTCTGTATATCTCCACATCTTCATCATAAATGTTGTAGTATGGATCATACTGAGTAGGGCTGTAACGCTGAGAGTTGTTGTACACATTTGCATTGGCAGGTACTTGTACTGCTTGCTGCTGGGCATAGGTTACCGGGGTAACACTTGGTTCCACCCTATGGATCAATGTCCCTGTATTACTTCAAACGTCTTGTAAAAAATATTTTTTCAAATGTCGTCAATTTTAATTTTCATGCAAGTGGAGTTAATTGAATATGCTTACTTATATATTAGAATTCTCACAAAAACCACAAACTTGTCTACAGAATCAGAAAACTGTAAAATAAAAATACAGTAACAGATTTTTACCTCTTTATCAATTTATGCTCATGACTGAATTTCATACTTACCTATAAATATATACTAAGAATTTGAGTTTTATTGATGTTGCAAATGCAGAGTGTAATACAAGTTTTTATACTTTGTGTATGTATTTTCATGACTTTCAGTTTAGTGTCTAATGGTCATTATCTTGTCTTTATCCTGAAATGTACTCTTTGAAGAAAATATATGAAACATACTGGTACATGTTTATCTTAGTAATCAATAGTACAGAATGTATTCCAGTTCAAGTTTATTAATCTGAATTTATCCAAAATTGAAACATACTCAAAAGGCACGTATGAATACGTGGCCTAAAGTATTTTCTTTAATAATATCTGCAAGTTTCATTTTAAATTTTTTCCGTTCAGGTGGATATTTAGCGAGACAGGTTTAGTAGTAAAGTAGAGTCCACTGTGGGCTGCAGTTGAACATGTTTTCTTGTATTGTGGCAGTATGAATTTGGCATGGAATAAAATATGAAATCTAATGTAAATTCATGTGGTGCTGCACACCTACTTTATGCATGCAGCCTTGCAGATAACTCAGCAGTCATTCATAAAACACTGTGGTAAACACCTGCTGTTTTCAGTCTGTATAAATGCAGAGGACAATACTATTCAAGCTCAATGAATATACCAGTAAATCAAATGTAATATTCATGTACTCGAATAACAACAAAATCTAATTTTGTCCTGATTGGACAGTAAAGATTTCAATTCAGATGAAGACTAAAATGCATTTATAAGGATGCATATCAAAACAGGCTTTCAGTGATATATATTGTCACGTGTTGGGTGTATAACATGACAAATAACTTCACACCATATTGGGTATAGCAAATTTTATTTCACACTCGCTCTTACAATCACACCATTTACAGTTTCACAACTGCAGTATTACAAATACTAGACTGCAATTAACTGGTGACTGACTCTCTGGCTAACTCGAAACTAACTGACTCACTGCTGGCTAACTCATAACTAACTTGAATAGTCCTCGCTGCTCCTTATTTAGCCCCGTTATGGACAACACAGAAAACAGTTATGTAATAGGCACCACTGTTGTCTGACGCCGTGTTTGCCGACAGCCTAGCAACACTGTCGGGCGTTGTTTACTGCTGAGTAGTAACGGCAGCATCCCGTGTTATGTCACCAGTGTGGAGGGAGGGGGTGTCCTCCATAGCGCAACAGGTCACACTGCTCCCTCCTTTAGGCTGTTCGTTCCGAATAGCCTAACGGTGCACCCCCGTTCCTTTTATTCAAAGGGTGGCTTTCTGCATCTCCTGTTATTTCGGCTACTCCTTGCAGCGACTATTCTCCTTCCGTTACAACCACTCCCCTCTTAAGACCAGCTCATCTTGAGCGGTTTCCTGCTAAGTTGCCAGAAGATTCAGTTGTGTCACACTCATTCGTCGCACATTCACGCTTTCTCGGGAGGCCGGTTCTTCTACATTACCGGTTCCTCCTCTACTTGAGGTCCCTTTTTCCGTTTTGGAGGGGGTCGTCCCCTCCACAGAGTCCAATCCACGATTCTTCGCATCCTGCTGGAAGTCTTGGGCATTCGTTTAGTGTTTTTCGGACCGTAGATCTCATATAAGGTTGTCCTTAGTGTTCCTTCACTTCCCAGAAGAGCTCGATCTCCCTGGCTCCACTTCTGGATACCGTCCGTGGTTGTCCTCTTCTTCCTCTCGTGTAGCGGCCCCTTGCCGCGTCGATCCTTTGTTCCTTCATGGTGCATCCGTAAATTCTTCTGGAGCGGCCCTACTCTCTGGGTTGCTCGCTGAATCATGGGCCTGGTGCGGTTTCTCCCAACGACGTTTACCTTCTGCCATTCCATTTTCGCACGGCGGGTCGTTCCCTTGTGGCTCGTCCCTCTGCGGGCTACGGCCAACTTCTTCTGGGGTGCACAATTATCCCATGTCGAATTCTTCATATTTCGTCGCTTGTTTCGGTCCCTACGCTTTTTCTGCTTCGGTTCTCCGACTGGCATTACTTCGGCGTCTTGTACCGGTACCTCTCGTAGTTCTGCCGCCTCAGGTTTCCTGTCCACTGAGGCCGGCTCTTCTTCTTCTGGACGTGCCTTAATTTCTCGGCAGGCCATCATCTCTTCGACCGGTATCACTATGGGGACCTCTTCCTGTTGTGCCACGGACACCATCTCCACGTGGCTGGTGCCCATTTTTTCTCGCATGGAGGCCATCCTTGCTTGGGTTGCTCTCGTCTCTGCATCCAACTTTTCTCCCCAGGCCCTCATCTCTTTCAGCATATCCTCTTTGTCTTTCCTTCTATTGGCCCCCATTTCTACCTTGTCGGCTTTTCTATTGGCCTCTGCCTTCGCCAGCATTTCGATTATTCGCTGCATCTCCATTTTGTAGCAGTAAAATACTTGTAAGTTCAATTATTCTTCGAGGCGTGTTCAAGTTCGTAAATCAATTCTGACACCAAATTGTCACGTGTCTTAAGTTCGAATCTTGTTGGTCTTGTGTGTAAGTCCAATCGCACTTCTGACACCAAATTGTCACATGTTGGGTGTATAACGCGACAGATAACTTCACACCGTATTGGATATAGCGAATTTTATTTCACACTCGCTCTTACAATGACACCATTTACAGTTTCACAACTACTGCTATCTGCAGTATTACAAATACTAGACTGCAATTAACTGGTGACTGACTCTCTGGCTAACTCATAACTAACTGACTCACTGCTGGCTAACTCGTAACTAACTCGTAACTCATAACTAACTTGAATAGTCTTCGCTGCTCCTTATTTAGCCCCGTTACAGACAACACAGAAAACAGTTACGTAATAGGCACCACTGTTGTCTGACGCCGTGTTTGCCAACAGCCTAGCAACGCTGTCGGGAGTTGTTTACTGCAGAGTAGCAATGGCGGCATCCCGTGTTACATCACTGGTGTGGAGGGAGGGGGTGTCCTCCATAGCGCAACACGTCACGATATATATATTTAAGTAAAAATTGTAGATACTAATAAAGTGAATATTCTACATGCTTTCTTGCAGCGCTGTTTTTAAGGACATCTATGTTAATGAGGCTGAACTATCAGAATACACGTGATTAAAAATCAGCTAGTGTGCAGTTCACAAATTTAAGTTTTACATGGCATAGACAGACTGTAGTACATGACATAACTTCTTTTCAGAATGGCATGGATTATATTTAGCAGCTTCTGAACTCTTGATTCATAAAACATTAATTGTGAAACTATTCAGAAATTTGAAAGCAACTACTATACTCTTTTCCTAAATAAATCATATGGAAGCACAATAAAACATAATCACTTTCTGATATATAGCTAAAAAAGCCTTAATAGCATGTATAAATTTTAAAGAATTATATCAAGTGATTTAGAAGTTATGAATTTTTGTACCCTCCAACTATTTTAATCAAATACAAGACAAAAAAGTAACATACCAGCAATTTAAGTGATAATTACTAAATCAGTTATATTAAGTACACTTGGTCGTCGACTTATGACCACAAAAAAATGAAAAATAAAAGATGATTAAAATGTAAAAGTCTTAAAAAATAAATTATAAAGATGATGATAGGATTAGAAAGGTTTAAAAATACTGTTAATAAATATATGGCTGACATACGACCAGATCGACTTACGACCTGTCAGTCAGAACAAAAGTTGGTCGTAAGTCAACAACCAAATATTTATATGCTTTCGTGCTTTTATGGTACAGAACTGACTTTAAAAGTGACAAGTCATTGCTGTCATCTCATGCAGTTATTAGATATGTCAGGGATGTCTTTTGTGCTCTAATGAATGAATCTGTCTTCTTACATATGTCATGTTTGTAAGATAGAGAGCGTACTTATTAAAAATAATTTTCTACTTCTCCCAGTGGAAACATGTTTTTGTTATGCACCTTAAATTGATCACTTCCATCAGTAACACCAACATAAACTTTGAAATGTTTGCAAATGTTTCATCTTTCAGTGTATGGTCCTGCAATGTTTTACGGTGACAGGATTGTAAGCAAGGAATTCTGGGCAGATCTCACGGTCTTGTATCCTATTACACAAACTTAGTATCATAAAAATCCTATGCTAATGTTGTTATATTTAGATAGTCTACATTTATAATCTAAATGTAGAGTATAACTTAGTTCATAGCTTAGCGTGCTAGAGTCATATGAAGTTGTTATAAGATCAAATTCCACTGAGATAATATTTTTTATTATTGCTTGCAATTGGAAATACACTGTGTTTAAAAAATGTATACACACTTCATTAATTGTTAACCCATTACTGTGTTGGTTACCTTAAAGTCACAAATGTTCAGAATTGTTACTACTAGCACTAATACATTGTTCACGGTGGCTGTTTTTGCTCATGATTAATGGGAGAAAATCATTTTCAGATATTTTCATTTGGTCTGATGAAGTGACTTTTGAACTTAATGGTTCTATCAATCTATGCAGCTGTGTATACTGGGCCACAGAAGATCCAAACATAATGGATGAACAAGTAGATAATTTACCAGGGATATCAGTGTGTTGTGCTATGTCTTCCAGAGTGATTTTAGGCCCATTTATCTTTGAAGCTTCTGTCACGGGTTCTGCCAATGTAAAACTGCCGGAGGAGATCATATCTTGCATCAGCATTTTCTTTCTCATGAAAACTGTTACTTTCAATAAGGTTATGGACCACTGCATTACCACACTGATGTGAGAAACTTGTGTGATCATTTCCCCAGAAGATGGGTAGGACAGAGGAAGTGTGTATCCACTCCAGTCACTTTGAGACTTTTACCTGTGGGATACTCTAAAGAGCAATGTGTATTCCACAAAACAAAGAACGCTGCAGGTTCTGAAGCATGAAATTGAAATTGCCTGTTCTGCTGTTATGCCAGCAGCAAGACAAGAGTTGGTCTGCTCTCTTTAATACTGTTGTCAAAAACACTGGTGATCAACATCACATTGGGTTAACATCTGTCTACTCTTAAGGGCAAGTTAACAAAATGTATGCATATTATTTGGGGACACACTGTATGGCACAGAATGTTATTGTTATTTTATTTTATTTTCAGGAAGATTTTATTACTCAAGTACAGATTTATTCTATGTTAAGTTCATCACATAGAACTTCAACATCTTGCACTGTTGTCATATTTGTAATTGCTTGCTTATACACAAAAATTGCATATGTAAAATGTAGGAATTCTAATGAACCGTCTCTGTACCCAATTTCACAATCCCAGTTTCAATAGTTTATTTATTATAGCTGTCAAAATGAAAGTCAAAGAAAATTTTTGCAGGGCCACCATGTTGTTTTATGTCTCCGAAGAAAAGTACCTAAGGCTTTGCCATGAACTGTTAATGTGCATCATTTCAGGACCATGTATTAAGAGGAAATAGTGTTGCCACCATCTTACAAGCTCATGTGGCCTCCATATTGTTATTACTAAATGTACAAAATTAAAGTGTGATGTAAGGGTGGTCTCCATAACACCTTACATGAAAATCAGAGAATTGATTCAGTAGTGGAATTAAGAAAGGCAAAAGCCATGTAACTACTGTCATGGCCATTTTTGTAAAGAATCTGCAGTAAGAAGATGACATTCTAATTAGTTATTTCTGTTTGAAGGTGTGTTATTAACTAGGCAGATGAAGTTTTGTATGATGGTGATTTGGAAATTGGTCTATAAATTATGGTAGAAACAAAGAGTACTGTGTCTTTGGGTGTGATACCATGTAGTGTGATAGAAGTTTACTGATGTTTTGCAGGAATGTGGTAACCCTGCCATCTGAGGGTAAAAGTAAAAAACAAAGGTAAAGATATCCCTGTAACAGGCTGTGGAGGCCCATAGGGTTGTGAGAATTTGAGGCTCCCATATCTTCTAGACAGTCGGCTCAGAGATGGCGGTAAGGTTGTCAGCCTTACATGCCAACTGCCCTTTAGCCCCCAGTAAGATTCCTGGTACTCATTTCTGTTAGAGGCTGAGTCAGCCCCAGGGCCATATGTGGCTGGAAGGATTAGGTAAATTGATAAAAACCCATCTCATCGGGACTCGAACCCGTGACCTCCCAGCTTGTAGCATAGTGCTTCAACCAACTTACCCCATCTGAGGGTAAGATTAGTAAGCATGGAGGCAGTAGATTCCTCCAGAAATGTCTATGAACTTCCACCATACTTCATGCCATCATGGCGTGTGTATTAAACGTGACAAGAATATGAGTGTTTAAGATTACATTTGACAAGTTTCAGGTAATGTAACTCTATACTGATAAGAATTTTGTATAAAACTGTAGTAATGAAATTATATTGCTCAGTAGTATGAATATTACATTAAATTTTGCTGGCATCATCCTGCAGTTCGAAGTCACATGACAATGCTGAGTTTGATTGGCTTAAAGAATTATATATTTTGGACCAACATTTGTCCTGTTAACGTTAATTCTGTTTTGTTTAATGTGTTCAAAAACAACTTCATATAATTTCAATGAAAGTTCCTTTTTCTGGTCCAGAAAGTCATGCTGTAACTTATGATCTCAGTGAGAATTATTGCTGGTCAATGCAAGGGCTAAAGTTTGAAAAACGATTGAAATTCATCAAATATACAAGTGATACCACATGTAGCATGATACTTGTACATTACTGTAGCCTGTAATGGCGTTTGAAAGCACTCTTATGGTATACCTGTGCTTTAGTCATGTTTCTTTACCGATGATTGAATGTCTGATCTGTCACAGTTGCATAGCTCACTACTTGCTACTGTACCTGTGTGGTGCTGCGGTCATGGTACTTCCCAGCGGTATCTTGTTCAGTCTGTTGACATTATGTTGTAATGGTCTTTCAATTGATTCACTCTTGTCATTGTCTGGGTATGCTTCAGTTGAAGTCACGTCGAATCTAACTTTAGGTGGGCGTCTAAGCCGTCGTGGCATTACTGGTAGCTGGCTGTGTGTGGGCGAAGGATATATCAGTGTGGTGTGTATATCGCTGGAAGGCGACGTGGTGGTAGTAATGACATTTGCAGCAGAACTTTGCAGGGACTTCGTCAGTGGTCTGTGGGTTCTATGTCTTACAGGTAAACTAGGATGGTCATTGGAAGGTCTGTGTCGTGTGGTGTATGTTTCATGTGTAGTGTGATCAGCACCAGATGTGGTATATTTATTAACATGATTCATGATTCCAGGACCTCTGGGAATTTGGTTTAGTGGTCTTTGGTGCCCTGGTTTCAGGTGAGTGATGCTAGAGATTGTAGTAGTGGTAACATTAGGATGGAAAAGGCTTAACTTTGTAAATGGATTTTGATTAGCACTCTCAGAGCTGGGATCACTTGCAGTATCATACTGTGGCTTAAACATTGTCTTTGCTATGTCATATATTGAATCTAAGAGTTCATTTGATGGTCTTGTGCTTGTCTGAACCCCAGAGTATGTAATGGGTGTGTTTTCACTGGGTATATCATGCATATTAATGAGTGTTACAGTTGTATACTCTGGAAGAGATGGTGTGGTGAGATCTGATTCTGAGTTGAACCTGCTTTCAGAATTGTCATCTGTTACTTTATGTTTTGAGTGTGTTGGAGTTGTAAGTTCAAAGTTGGAGACTTCCTGCTGGTATGGGACTGTGCTTTGCCAGCTGTTGTAAGTTTTTGGATCATTGTATCGTGTTGTACTGCTTGTGGAAAGGAATTCCGTGGTTGGTGAAAGAATTGGTGAATTGTAGATACCAGTGGATAGTGTCTTATGGCTTTGTGGTGTCCTTTCATTTTGTAAAATTTTCAGCGGTCTGATGGTGTCATTTTCTTCTCCTGATATGTGAATGTAAGAGTGACCTGTTTTCTTTGGATTGGTATCACTTTGTGTTAAGCTGGAAGCTGGGTTTGCTAGTGGTCTGGGTGTTGTGTGCTCTGTGGATGTCTTTTGAGCTCCTTGGTATTGGTACCTATTGCTACTGAAAGCAGTTGCAGTGAATGGATGTGGCAGAGATGATGCTGGAGTTGTATGTGGTGCTTTGACTCGAACCCTCGGCTTTGTGACACGTTGCTGATGGTATGCACTGTCATAATAGGCGTTCTTTCTAGAGCCATCATTAGCTTTATTGGTTTCCATGGTTTGGCTTGCATAGATGTGCTTGGAGTTCTGTGGCATATTTCTTATAGGCCCTCGTCGTGGAGGTTTCGAACCTCGTGAAGGAGTTGTAACAACTACATGAACTGGATGCAGTGGATTTACATTGTCTCTACCTGCAGGGAATGGAGTTGTTACAGTGGACTCATATGACTTATGATTGTTGGCATTAGAATTCCTGTGGGACTGAAGATAAGATTTAGAAGTGCTTGTTGTATGTGGGATTCTCTCTGTAGACTGAATGGTATCAAAATTCTCCTCTTGTACAGAGTACCTGTTCCCTGTGACTGTTGGTAGGACAGTGTCTTGTGTTCTTCCAGCAAGGGTAGTCTCGGGTTGCTGGGACTGAATGTGAACAGGATTAGCATAAAAGTTGCCATCTTCTCCAGGGTAAAATGGCACTGTCAGTGGATGAGGCTTTATGTGATGATTGACTGTGGCTATTTCAAGTTGTGGTGCATGTGTTGTGCTGGTTATATGTTCACTTTGGTAAGCACTGCCCTTCACAGTTTCTGTGTCAGTGTCAGCTGGTCTGCCCTGCTGGTTATGTTTCTGAATTTCATCCTCTTCATTATGTGCCCCTATCTCTTCATTATAAACATTTTTGGCGTTACGTGGTGGGGGTGGGTAATATTCTTTTATGTATTCTTTAGTAAGCCCCTGACTTGTTCTCTGCCCTGAAGGCTCAGTATGGTCAACTTGCTGCACATTTGGTTTAACTGTTGTTGTGGTTGACTCTGAGTTTTGATATGTAGTGGAATTAATATTATCACCCTCAGTGTCATAGTTACTCACTTCTGGAGGCTCTGTGTTTGTGATCTGAACTTTAGAGGATTCCTGCTCGCTAGCTGGTTTGGGATTTCCTCGCAGTTTGTCCAAATATGCATCAAAGTCAAAGTCAAAACTTGCAAATGGGTTTGTAATATGTTTGAACTTATTGAACTCTTCATAGAACTCTGGTGGTGGAGCTGGAAATCTGTCTTCAGTTGTTGTTTCTAAGTGGGGGATAGTTTCTGCTTGGTCCTTGTCACTTAAAGCAGATCCGTCACTTTCATGTGTCTCAGTATCATATGAGTCAGGCTGATCTGATGATGCGGACTCTTCTGTTTGAGGCAGGTCTCCATCATAGGTTTGTTCTGATGTCTCTTGTCTCACAGGTTGTCTATTTCGATTCTGAGGAATGTTTCTGTTACTCTGCTCTGTATTGTATTGTGGCCGTTTTCTCCCAGTCTTTGTTTCTGTATGGGTGTTTCCTCTGTTACGGTACCGAAAGTCAGAATTTGTCTGTGATTCTCTTTCTGGCTCTGGCTTTCTTGATCCAGGATTCTTCTCTTCCAGGGTCTCGTCTTCATCATAAGATACCTTTTTATCGTAATCTTCTGGTTTTCTCTCATAGACATCTTCCTGGCTATCACTACCGTGCAGTTTGCCATTTTTGGTTTGCGCTGGTAGCTTGAGACTCTCATATTTGCCATGTGGGATGGAAGTTGTGTCGCTGTGGGGTGCCACATCAGGAGTCCGCACTACATGTTTTTGGTTTCCATCACTTTCTACAGCAAAATTATGTCGTGAGGTTGTTTGTGGATAGGAGACAGGTTTGCGATTGTGAGGTCTCCTTGTATTTCTCTCTGGTTTTTCTGTGAGGTTCTTGTCAGGAATATTAGCTTTTTGCCTTGCTGGCTGTCTTGTGGGAGGGGCAGCTTGCGGCCTTAAGTAGTCATTACTTCCAAGCTGGTCATTGAAGCTTGGGTCAGCTGTGGAAGGCAGATCTGTATACAAGTCTGAGACTTCTCTGATATTATCTTTATACACAACACCCACAAAACTTTCACTATCACCATATGGGCTTGTGTTTGGCCTGAAAGGACCTTCAGTCCGTAAATCTAGTTGTTCTGAACTTTGATCCTCAAAGTTGAGAGAGTGTGAAGGGCCTGAAAATGTATCTTTTTTATGCTTGTTATAAGTTGGTGGGAGTGATTTTGTGGGTTGAGGCACAGGTGACCAATTACGTTGCTGCTGCTGTTCCCGTAGGAGTTTCTGCCATGTTTGCTGTATTTGTTGCTGGTTTTGATTATAGTGTGGTAGTTCAGTCTGCTGTTGTGGTGGGGGAGGTGATACAAGGTGCTGGCTAGTTTCCCGCTGTTCATGATTATGTATTTCAGCGGATGATAGTGCATCATATTGAAATCCTAATGGGGTCTGTCCACCTGGAAGGTTTTGGAGTGTTGTCACATACTTTTGAAATGAAGATTGCTGGATTGGGGTGGGAGTGTCTGTGCTTGAAGGTGCATACTGTACTGCGGGCACAGCCATGTTAGGACGGTCAAACAGAGGATGTGAATACCTATCCTGTTCTGGTGGATTTTGATTATGGTAATTAATTCCTGATATAGAAGAATCCCTGGTCACAGCTTTGGTTTGGCTGTAAACTTGCTGATGATTTATGGGGCTAAGGGATGTTGGAGGACTTGCTGGATTAGAAAAAATGTCTGAGATCTGTTGGAAGTTTGTAAACGAGGTAGGACCTAGGCCTCTTACAGGAAAAACAGGATTTAGATACTGAGCATTTTGATGTAGAGTTTGAAGAAGTGAGTTGACATTATTTTGCTGATTAAGGTTTATGTTAGATGTACCTACAGGCTGCTGCTGCTGCTTCTGTAAGTCTGTGTTCAGTTGTGATGTCTGTTGAAGCTGTAATTTTGTATTTTTAGGATCTGGAGGCTGATTTAGATACTGCCTCAAATTATAGGCAGAAACAGCAGGGTTTGGTGTCTGGGAAGGTCTTGGTTTGAAGTTATTATTTGTCTGTGTAAATTGTATTTTAGGTGGTGGTCTCTGTCCTGAAGTGAGATAATTCTCTGGACTTCGGAAATGTCTGATGTCAGCATTTGGGACGTTGTTAGGGATCGGCCTGTAGTTATTATCAGAGGAGGGGGGAGGAGCAGGATTGGATGGCCTCACAGATGGAGATGGAACTGGAATATCATTGGTATTGGCAGGCCCAAAGGTTTTGTAACTATTGTAGTTGGCTCCATTGCTGAGCACCGGCACAGTTAGCGATAATGTATTCAGCTCTGGTCGGTCTAATTGCAACACTGGACCACCCTGGCCTGGGAACCTACTGGCGTTTCGGCCGGAAATGAGAGAAAAATAAAACTCTATCAGTTCCCACTTATTCTTACTGTAGTATTATGTTATAAATTAACTTCACTTTAAGCAATTATAGGAACATATACTTTATAGTCAGTTATTATTATTGTTGGTATAATCAGGGTACAGCATAAATATATTCAGAAACAACATTGGACTAAAAATATGAAAATGTAAATAAAATCGTTCAACACTGAAGTCTTTATGTCAAAGAAGATTTAGTAAGCAACATTAAGTTGAAATTTTTGTTTGTGATAATTGCCTAAGCTCTGTTATCTAATTACTCTTCTTGTTAATGAAATTGGTATCTTTAAAAAATACTATCAGAAGATAGTATTCTTCATAACCACTGCTGTGAGAATCTCAAGTCCTACATGGTATCTTTAAGTTCAAAGAAATCACCACAAGCATAATTGAATTTGCTAAGGTGGGAAAAGGGACATATGCAATGGCTGAAATGCATATGTTCCCTTTAACAAGTAACTGATTCAATTGTGATACTATCACTTATCAACAGAATGCATTCTGTGCTAAATTACTGTCATAGTGAGAAAAAAATATTTTGTCACATTTGAGACTCAAAGTGTAAAAATTCTTTCAGTGTTCTGTGTATTAACAGAGTATTCACAAATGCTTACTAAATCTCCACATTATTACATTAGAAATTTATTATACTTCATTTTCAATTCATGTCTGTTTTTGCAGAGCCATTCATCTCCATAAGAGAGTAAAGATTTCATGCTCTGTATTTAATTATACATCTGTAGGACTAAAGCAAAATGGACTCCGTTGATATTGCAGTATAATGAAACTGGTGGCATACCTCCTATGACCAACATCTTATTGTCTTTGGTTGTTTGTTAAAAATATATTTGTAGGTCCGGTACTAGTGTGGAGTATTGGGTTGGTATCTACAATTGTGTTAGTGTACATTCATGAAATTTTGTGATTAATTCATTTAGTTTCTTATGTGGATTTGGGATTTGTCATTTTTATGGGTATGAAGTTTAAAAAGTTCCAGTTCTGTGAAGGAGTAGTTTATATATTAGAATTTAATTTTTGTAGTTTGCTATTAATTAGAGTGGTTGCAAAAATATATGAACAAATTATTCAGCATATTTGTATGCTTATAATTTAAGAGTTATTTCTTCTGAGGTGTAACACGGTGTTGTCAACCAACATTTTAGAGTAACATGTTGCCTCCACCTGCAGGGTCAAAGAGTAAGCCAGACAAGAAGCCAGTGTCCAGCAGAGAACAAGAAGAGTTCCTCTTGATGCCTGCTTACATTGCTTTCTGTCCAACCCCAAAGGTGCAGGAAACAAGTCTATTGACTTCAGTGAATTATATGCTGTTATATCTCAGAAAATAGACCTTTTCATAACTACTGCTGTGAACATGAAACCTACATACTTTCACTCTGTTCTGTCTAGTGGTACACTCACTGCTTTTATTTGAGGACAGTCATTGATAAGGTATGTAATAAAGTGTAAGTGATCAAGTATTATCAGAACATTTCCTTCTGATCAGTGTGTATGGAACAAACATAAAATGTATTTAAATGCTATTATAAGCAGACTGCAGTTTGTATCCTCCAAATTTATAATTTATAACACTGTGACTATTTGCTGGATTCTGACTCTTGCAGAATGTTAAATTTGTTGGAAAATTAAGTACAGAATTTTATTGCATCAAGTATTATTTAAATAAAGTTATATTTTGGCTGTGTTAGACTTGATGCTAGATCTGTTTAGGTGGTTGGATGGGTCTGTTATTAAGAAGACCCTTGTGATGCAATTTCTGTAGTTCATAACATGTAAAATATTTATCGCTTATTCCACTGACTGATCTTACTTTGGACATACCAGCATACATAAGAACTTCATTATTAAACAATAATTAAAGCAGAATACAGAAATGTTAAGACACACATTAAATTGAATCTGCAATGGTTTCCACTAGACTTTATCACACCCAGTTGTAGAAATGGTAAATGAAAGTAGTAAATATATGTACTAGCAACCTAAAAATTTGAATTTCCATCAAAGTTTAGATTTTTATCTGTGTTCTTTAGTAACTGCATTTATAATATTTTACTTAAAATATGTAACAAATTAAAAATTACTGAATGGCTATATCATAATATATTAGTATTGCTCTGAACTGGACTGAAGTTGTTTGAGGGCTGCTTCTGGCCAGCAAACCCACCCCTAAAGGAGGAAGGGACAAATTATACCTAACTCTATGATAATAGTGGACTACACTAATAGAAACTCCTGTGATTTCTCCATTTCTGAATAAATTGATTTTATTTTTTAAAAGATAACTTCTGACCATTACAAAGTATTGGAGATCTGGGTCCATCAGAATAAAAAACTTTTTAAACACATTTTTTTAAAGTGACTGACACCACTTTAGTGGTTTATTTTTTTGGCTAATGGTCACCAAATTCACTCTTTTTAAAGTGCTTCCTGTTAAAGAAGGAACACAGAAGATTTTTGTACAGTACAATGAGTGTGGGAATAGATGTAAGGTGTGTGTGTATGTGTGTGTGTGTGTATATATATATACACGTATATATTATAAGGAAGTAATTTTGAAATATGAAACATAAAATTAGCATTTACAAATATTATGCAGCACTGTGTATATTTCTGTAGTCTTTCCCATTTTCTGATTATCCTACACAAGCCAACTCTTATATTTTCTGCATTATATGATCTGTTTCAGAAAGTTAAGAAATTTTTGGATCACTCTTTAAACAAGAAAGCATTATGATTTTATTAGTTATCAGACTTTACCGAATTTATAAAGCAGATAAGAATACTAAGTCATTACAGGAGTTACACAGGTCATGTTTACCTTTATAATAAATTTTCTAGCAAAATAAAAATTATGAAAATAAGAATACTGTAAAAGAGTATTTATCTAGTATTAATTTGGGATACCAAAATTCTTGATTAATTAAAGAACATTTTATAAAGTATTTGTGATACTCTGTTATAATTTGAGCTAAAGATTAATATTGAAATTATTTTGTTTGTAAAATATGATTCATCTTTATAAATTTCCTGATTTTCTAAATTAACATGGAGGGTAAATAAGTTGCAAAGTCCAAGATTCACATTTATCATACTGATTATAGGATTGAGGGCAATCATTCATAAAATTATGTTCTTCTCACAGAAATTTACATTTTTTTGTATACCACTTTCAAATAGGGAACAAAGTTTGATATGAGAAAAGTTAATGATAATGGTTTCATCATGCTGACTTGTTCTGATCTACATATCTCAGTATATGTTAGTAAGTTATTAAGTCTGGGTTGCTAAGTATTGCTGCATTCAGTCTTAAAATTTCTTTGCATATGAAACTTAAAATATTTTTGTAATAGCATAGAACACAGATCTTTGGTAATTAGTGATATTTAATTGCATAAAACAGTTTTCATTTTAAGGAGCTATACTTAGGTAAATATGTTGTTCTATGTTCAGTTGTGTAGTTCTTTCTATCTATCTAACTGTGCATAATTGTGTAAATTGGGCCATCAACACAACATAATATCTTCAAAATGAAGACAAGATAGACACTATTGTATCACTAGTGTTTATGTATTATGCGAAGGTGTATGCTACATGGTTTGACCTTTTCTAGGTAATCATCAGGCAAGTAACAAGAAAAACAACTAAAAGTTGGTTTAATGTGGATCCATATTTTATAGTCTGTTGTTATTATAGCGAATACACCTTTTGGAGGATGTAAACTAATATTATATGCAAAATCCTAATTATGCATGGTTGTTGTATAAAATTAAAGATAATTAAAGCCTATTGTGTAAGATTTGAGGCTTTCACGGCGGTGACTATGAAGAAAGCAGTCTTCTGGTGTATATGTGGTGTTAACCACATATACACAGTGCCAAATCCCAGAAGACTGCTTTCTTCAAAGCCTATTATATTAGGATTTTTATTATTTGGTATTAATAATTTAATGTAATGTGTCTTAAAATTTCTTCAAAGTTATTAACAATTTTAATAAGTCTTTAAGTTCAATAGCTTGTAGAATTATATGTTCAATTCTAAGTTTAATTTTAAAAATAGTCTTGAAAATTAAGCTAAGACTAAAAATAGTTTAATGTTGTCATTGAGGTCCTGATTGTTAATAAATCATGGGCCCATGTGCTGTGTGGGGGTCCTTCTTCTAACTTCTGTCTTGTACATTTTATTACTAGTTATTTTGTAAATTGTTATCCTTGTATTTATTTGTGTGTCCCTCGCAGGTAGTTTTGTGGTTAAGTGTAGAGTTTAGGTGCTTAATATTTACTTTGTGTGTATGAAGATATCCTCCACTGTTGTGGCATTGTTCACATAGTAGAACAGTTGTGTTGACGGCCCAATTTATGTGACTATCGAACACATGAAATGATGCAAACCATAAAGATAACTGTGCATATTTTGTAATGAACAATATATGGTATTTTTACTAAATATAAATTGTATGCGATTAAATAACAGGAGTTGTCAATGAAAAATAATCCCAATCATGTGACCCTGTGAAGTGAAGTGGATTGGTGTTGTATATCAAAGTAGGTCTTGCATTCTGAGTAACTGATTCAAACAGTTCCGTATATCCATTTGTTTGTGATGTGCATAACATTTATTCCGGTAAAGTCTGACCCAATGAAGAAAAATTGTTCAGTCAGCATCTATTGTGATTATCCTTCTATCCTGTGTGGAAACTTATTGAAGGTAAAATACATTAGGTTTAAAGTTATGTACAAATCAGCCAATGAATTCATTTTTATTTTTACATATTTATTTATAATAAAAACAGATAAAAGGTTTAATTAGTTTACATATAGTGAGAAGAACTATTAACAATCTTGTGTACAACAAAGATATTGGAAACTATGGAATTTTACAGAGTTGTGAATAATGGGTTTACAGAACACTATTTGCCAGGGTTTTAGATATTCGAGGTACAAAGAGTCAATTTCCAGTCCAGATAGAAGCTCGATAGATTTCCATTTCTTTGAATTACAGTGCTAGGGATTTGGTGGTTTTAAGGATATGAATAAGATGGCTGTATCTAAATGGATTAGTGTTTTATACAAAGTCCCACACCATCTTCAACTTCTGATTAAATTACAAATTGTGTCTTCTGGATTGTGCTTCTATATAATATCGTGTTTGGCCAGCAACGTTCCAGAGGAACATGCTGCATCCATCTGTGGGATTGAAGTGAGTAGTGAGGATGCATTATGTTGTAAGCATGATTCAAGGAAGGTGATCGCTCGGATCCATGTAAGAGGGAGGGGATATGTACCCTAATCTGGGCCAACAGGAACAGTGAACAGGAGGCACAAAAGAATTTACATTACTACAATATTACATTGCTCCACAATCCAGGAAACTAGAATCTGAACACTCACTGCTGTAAATCCTGAAAACTTTATCTGGAATCTACTACAGGAAGATTTACACATTTTAGAAGTCAAGTGAAATATGGCGTTTTTGAAGATATAACACATGAAGTTACAGAATCTTTAGCAGAATGAATAGAGAGGAAGAAAGTACTTACAACAGTCAGAACTACTAAATGCGCAGAAACAGAAGCAATGAGCAGTCAGTATATTCATGAAGAGTATAAAGTGAAATAATCCTTTCGTTTAATCGCCATAACATGAAGGTGTATGGGCTCATCGAGGGAAGCTCTGTGCATAATCAATTGTAATGGTTTGTAACAATGATTGATTACACTAGACTATGTTGGACATTGCAAATTGTATAAGATATCTTTGGTAGAGGAACTACATAGCATTTTAGGAGTTCCTATTCTGTCTTCAGATGACTGATTGTCATTATAATGACAGATTGTTTCATTGATTGGATTTTGAAATTACAGAAACTCTTTGGACACAAACCCTGTGTGCTGATTACTATAATATAAGGTTAGCATTCAAAGGGTTTTCAGGGGCATTCAGGTTTATGCTGATTGGTATCACTATTTTCAAAAATGAAACCAGGAAAACATCTGTCAGTAAAATGATACTAATCACCCGAAGATGGGAGAAGAGCAAACTCCCGAAAAGTTACGTGTATCAAATATACCGCAGGTAATGGCAATGCCCAATGTAATTGTGATTAAGTGGTCTGCAGTCTGTTACTGCTACCTTTAAACCCTGACAGGAAGAGCCTTCAGTAGCACTAGATAGGAAGTTGCACTGGGATCTAAGTCATTTAGTAGGTAGTGGAATTAAAAACGAAAATGTTCCATTTCCTTTGCTCTGTTTTGAATCCCAGGTGGCATAATCCTCTAATGTTTAGCCATTACATTCACTGATAGGGCTTTCAGAATCATACTGAGAACAGCAGACCGTTTTCAATTATCCTGCTTTTTCTATAGGAGTTATTGTGGATGGTGTCTGCTTAGTTAAAATTTTTGTTGACCCTTTTGTTTCCCTGAGTATTTTGTGTCCTGGTTCTTAAAACTCTTGGTAAGCAGAGTATATAATTCAGTGGTCTCGGATGCCCTGTATTTTACACTAGAGTTCCTGATCTTTTCAGGTTAAGGTTTACTTTCAATTTTGAAATTGACCAAATATCCACTTTAAGAGAAACGTGAAAAGAGGGAAGAATACTGTTCATCCTGAATATAAATGTAAAAACCAAAATCAAATGAAAGAATGGGCTATTTGGCTTTGTAGATTTCATATTACACTACTGAATTTTGTCATGTAAGTAGATGCAACTCAAAAAGTGTGGTGGCTGTCATTTAAACAGGTTTGAAATCTTTTTTAAGATTACTGGGTTTTTGGACTTTGACCATTGTTTGGTATTAAGAAAACAAAACAAAAGAATACAATGTTTTGGAAACGATCTCCTTCCATTCTCAGGTGAGAGGTTGGAGGCAGCTACTTTGTTGGGTTTGTTAGAAACAACTAACCTCAGTCACGGTTTCTAATGGACCAATCACAGTAAGTGTCTCCCACCACTCGCCCAAGGACAGACACAGATCCAGTTTCTCAAACGTTGTATACTTTTGTATTTTTTCCAGATGATGGACAAAGTCCAAAACCCCATAACCTTGAGTGTTATAAACGATCATGAGAACCATTTAGAATTTACATTTATTTTATGATAGCCAAATTCCAAAAATCAATGTCCTCTTTACTTTCAGGTGAATATTGACTTGAAATGAAATTGAGTCCATGTGGAATTCTTCAGTTTTAACACATAGTTGTTCCTCGGTGTTCACTGATAAGTCTGAAAGTGGATTAGAATAAATTGTGGAATGATTTCCACTTTCTTGAAATTTTGACATTGTCATATTCAGGACTCAGTGTCTTGAAGGACTCTACCAGTGGTCTGGCATTCTTAATGAGCATTTGCACAGCACCATGAAGGTGTATGGAATAGCGGAGGAAACGAGACCTGTTATAACCTTGGCACTAAATGGTTGTTAGTGGTCAGCTGCAGCTGCTTCACCTCTGAGGAAACAGCCCCACATATCCACTTCATAGCAGTATGGATGAGCCTTGACAGCGTCTGTGGTCTAGTGGTCAGAGTTCCTGGCTATAGATCCAGAGGTCCAGGTTGGAGTCCTGGCATACCAGATTTTATGAGAGGTAGTGTGTCTGGAATGGGGTTCACTCAGCCTCATGAGAATAATTGAGGAGCTACTTGAACGAGAAAGTAGCGGCTCCGGTCTAGAAAACCGAAATTAACGGCCATGGGAATTCATTGTGCTGACCACGTGACATACTCTATCTGCTAAAGTTGCCACTAACTTCGCAAGCAATCGGCGGTTGCTCGGTCGGTATAGTTCACATGTGGACTAAAACCACGGAGTTTTGTTTGTTTGTTTGTTTATGGATGAGCCTCAGTCCAGACAGGATGTCATGTAAAAGAAAAATCCATGTTCTTGCTGCAAGCCTATTCATCTCATGGCCATTCACCTTACTAACGAAACTATCCTGACTCATACAGCCAACACTGCAAGATGGAATTTTGGGTGGCTATAAGTCAGTTAACTGGTTAGTAAAATATAAAATAAAATATGCCAAAAAATTACTTTCTTGCTTACCGAATTTACAAAAGTTTTTAAAATGAGACCTTCTGTCAATTTACAGCACTGTAATACTGTTCTACAAATTGACTGACAGGTTAAATCTGACACATTCCCATGAATACAAGAGAATGTTTTAGGTTAACTGATTTTTTGACCACTATGTATATGTATATGCAGGCATTGACATCAGTCAGTGGTGTTTCATTATTTTATTATTTTATGAAGTACATTTGAATGAGTTTTGCAATACATGGAATATTAAGGTTTTATTTACTCTTAATATTATATTGAAGAATGTATTATGTGCTGTACCTATCACATTGCAGAAATTCAATTTAATTGTTTCAAATCAAAATTACAGAATTCTGGGAACTCTTCCATTTCATATGTTTGTAACTAAATTAGGCGTGGGTCTTTTTGTGAAGTATATGCTATTGATGATTGTGTAGAACACTGAAAGGATATGCCACTAGTGCCACCCATGCTTGCAAGCGCTCATGCACAGTAGTTACTCTGAGAGTGGAGCCATATGTGGGCGATTATGGAAATATGTAGGATATACAGATTTGTACAGTTTTGAAAATTATTTTTTACCTAGTTTGTGGATGAAGAAAGGTTAGGTTTGTAGACAGAACACAGCAGGCCGACTATGAGGATATCTAGGATAGATGAGAGTGAAGAGTCATCAGTGTCTGGGCTATGAACAGAGCGTTACCTGTATCGTATTTGCCGCTTCTCTCTTCTGCGCTGATGTGTCTCATTGGTCAGGAGAAAGTTGTCGTCCAGAGTCACCTCGTCAAAACTAAGCAGCATTTGGTTCAGAAAATGATCAATTAACCACCAGATTTGAGGTTCAAGGAAGTTAATATTATGTACAGTGAGCGTTCTCTCAGTTGAGTTAGGGTTTACACATTCTGATGTGTACAACAGCATGTATCAGATTTAGCAAGGAGAAGCAGTGTGAATACCAGACAAAGCCTCCATGGTCATGACAGTTCCTGTAAAAATGCTCAGTGTATCTTTTATGGAACTTTCCAGTTGTGTGAATATATTCACAATTTAACACTTTATGAAACTAACTACACCACAACAGTATAATTTCTGTATCATTTGGTATTCTTAATGGAACTATAATTATATGTCAGTGAATCTTCCATGTGTAATAAATTTATTGGTGTTACATACATAAATATGAATAATTTGGTCAAAGCAAATGGGTAATACAATGAAGCTAGTTTCTAAGATTATTGAGTTCTGGGATGTGTTGGCATGTAGATCATTGCTGGTGTTTCAGAAGAATGTACTGACTCCTTCTTCAGGGTGTAGACTCTTCTAACCTCAAAGTGGGAGCAAGACATTGATCTGAAACATCGGTAATAGTCTACCAAACCACATGGCATTGCATCCCACAATACAGTAATTTTCATGGTGATGCTATGAGAAATCTGAAAAAGCCAATTTTCATAATCATGAGTTGTCATTCCATCAAGGTTAGTTTTACAAATTTCTGTTTACTAAGACTTGATTTATTTCCATTTTAATACAAATTTTACTGAAATAACCCAGTAAATTAATAGAATGTCATATTTAAATTTGTGGAATGTTGGAATTACTGTGAGGCCAATGATGACAGCGAAACTTTAGCAAGATGAAATTCAGCATGGGTCTGATAGAGCAGGAATTCACAGGTTTATTGTATGTGAAAAAATTTTTGCTTCTTCAAAAATGATCTTATTGCAATGATGACAATGACGTTTTGTTTTTAAATAACATATAGTCTGCATAGAAAAGTAATATAAATATATGTAATTCTTGTGTATGTATATACATATGCATGTACATGCACATTGTATTAAACTGCTTGCTTATAATCTTAAATTTTAGCTACCAAAGAGATACTGAAACATTGAAAAGCTGCTAATAGATACATAGTTTATATGAATGTTCTGGCAATGAATTCATACAATTATGTAAAATTACTGCTTTTATTTGTCTATACACATGGAATTCTTGAAATTATTACCTCACTTGATACAAAGTAAATGTTTTTGACCCATAATCATATATCTCTAATTCAGGCATTATCCAGAGAGAATTTCAGCAGTATTAATTATTTAACTACCTATGCTATACTTGATTGAGATATAGGAAACTGAAATTTGGAATTACTGTGTTACAGGCTGAAGATGTTATACTACAGCATCATATTTGTTCACTAGACACATTGTTTTAGATGCACTTTAATTAAAAAAAATAGTTTATAATATTTGAATTTGTGTACCCACAAGGTGCCTAGCTTAGCTGGGCATAGACTTATGACCATAGACCCTGAATGAGTAGAGCTGAGTGATATTAAGGGGGCCACTATGTGGAAGGCCTTTTCTGTGGTTAAGGTCAAGGCCCTTAAAGTGTGTGAGCAACAGTGGGGGTACACAAAGGACCCAGTAAAGGTTTGAAAGCTTGGGGCAACCAAAATTTCAATACTAGTTGATTAAACCAGCCATTCTGAATGTTTGAGTTGTGATACTGAAATGTGTCACAGAAATTTTCAAAACCAAGTTCTTCGTATGAAATTTTCACGCATATGTTGTGCAATTCTGATATTTCAGCTGTGTGCATTGTGAGTTGAAAGAAGGTCAGAAACCTCTGAATTAGGCAGTCCCATTTACAGCAGTAATGTTTACTGTAACCCGGAGGAAAATTGAGCAATGTCAAAATGATTACATTATATCGCCTTATGAACCAAAATTACAAAATTCATTGTTTCTTAGCTGCAAAGAAGAGGCCATAATTGTGGAGTGTAGTATAATAATGCTTTGGATACAAATAACAGAATGATAACATCAAACTACAGGGTGAGCCCAAAAGAAATAGACACTTTCAACGTTTTATAGCAGCCAAAGTATTATTGATATAGCCAAAATACTTACATGGAAATTAGTATATATCTTTAAGTTTGTATGACTAAGTTACAAATGTTTTATGTATGAGACTTTTATCACACAGCAGATACCAATACGATAACTCAGTTCCTTCTAAACACTGCTCAACAGACCAGAGCATGGCACTGACAAGTTGACCACCAAGAATTCTGATCTAACTCCCACTGATTTTTTCTTGTGGGGATATACCAAAGACAGTTTTTGTTCCTCCACTTCTAAGAGTAAACGATCTAAAGCAATGCATCATAACTGTTACGTGTGTTGACAAGGACATGCTCCGGTGGGTTTGGAACGAATTGGATTATCGTATTGATATCTGTCATGTGACAAAAGGCTCACACATAGAACATTTGTAACTTAAAGACATATACTGAAAAACCATGTAAGCAAATTGACTATATCAACAACACTTCGGTTTCTATAAAACGTTGAAAGTGTCTCTTTCTTTTATACTAACCCTGTATTTAATATGGTACTGTCATGTTTTATGTGGACTTTTAATATATTTTTCCAAGAGACAAAAGAAACAGCACAGGAAAGACCCATTGTGCTTGAAACAATAAATAATACTATGTAAGATTTGAAAGATTTCTCAATAAATAATACTGTCTTTTGTGCTAAGATGTTGACTGTTTTAAGCGATTTCAAACTCTGTTGGTTCCGTTTCACCTTGGACTTTTTACACAACAGCTAAGAAACACTGTCACATTATCAATTCTCCTATGTTCTAAACTTTGTTAATTGGTTGACATACACTTACACTGAGTGATTGAACGGTGGAATTGGCACATGTGACAATATGAGATTTGTACTATAGTTGACATGGGAAGAACGCAACTATAAGAAGTTGTAACAAGAGATGGATACCAATCAATAGAAGAAAGGTGTTCTATAAAGTACATAAATTTTCCAAATGTGTACTCTGTTATACGGTGACATGAATGAACTGAACATGTCGATCAGAGGCTCCAGTGCCATGGAATGGATGGTTAGATGGATGGATAGATACCATCACACTGAAAAATTGTCATTCAGGCAGTGCCTGAACTCACATCCTGTATAACACTGGTTAAATAGGCACTGCATTGTACCAAGTCATGAATGGCATATAATTTGTATGTACGATATGAGAGATTATATATACATGTGTGTTCAACAAATCATTGTTAGAATATAGACATATTTGTGAACACTGAATTAATGCCAGTGTTTAGTTGTTAATAATATATGTTTAAGGGTTCTGTATAAACCACAAAGCCATGTCAAATAAGGTAGCAGAATTGTCATTTAGAATTGGTGATGAAGTTGTCATGTTCTGTTTCAAGTTATCACTTCTGAATTTTCCTGGAAAGGTGACCAAGATATGATACAAATCTTCTTGAGCAGGCTATGGTTATTCAGATGGTTTCAAAATTTCCTAATTATATAGAGAACCCAAAGATTCTTCACTATGTCCATAACAACCTACTGCTAATGAGCTACTTTGATCCACTCCACATTATCATTCCATATATAATATTTATTTTAATATTATATTCCCATTTGTCTATATATTGTGACGTGGACAGCGCAACAGAAAGTAGGGGTCACATAAACTCTGCATTTCCATGAGTGACATCACATACCCCACTTCTTCCATCATTATGCAACACTCAGTAAACACCCCTCCCCGCTAGACTGTGATGTCACGCAACAGGCGAGTCCATTGCAGCGACTGTTGATAGGCAATCAGTAAACACGGCGATTACACAACAGGGAAGCGAGGTGCGTTTTCTGCTCAGGCTGATGGTTTATGAGAGATACTGGAATGCGTGAGAAGAGAGTTGAAACGTAGCGACCACCGAAGCCAGTTAGTATTCAGAGCAATCAGCGGCAGTAGAAGTCTAGCAGTTGCTGAGTGGAGTTGAAGCATAGCAGCCGTGGGAAGAAGAGCAAAACGTGTGGTACTCAGTGATAGTGTGCAATAACTGAGAAGTCAGCCAGTGAAGACATATTGTGTGACTTCAAGACTCTGTGTGTGCTGGAGTACAGTTATATTGGGAGTGTGTAATTCAGAGAGCCTTGTATAGATCCCATGTTGTACTGTGAATAAGAGAAGCCGACTGAAGAGAGTGAATAAATTAGTGAGTAGGGTTTGTAAATTGTCTAAACCCGCAACAGTGTTATAATCAATTGTAGTTATGACTTTCAGGTTGTTAAATGAAACAATTAACAATTTGAACGGCGTCATCCGTAGCAAAAACATGTTATACTGGTGTCGCTTCCCTGTTGCATAATTGCCGTGTTTACAGATTGTCTAGCAACAGTCGCTCATGGACTCGCATGTTGTGTGACGTCACAGCCTAGCAGGGAGTGTTTATCCAACGTTGCATAATGTTGAAAGGAGTAGAGGTATGTGACGTCACTAGCAGAAATGCAGAGTTCACGTGACCCCTACATCTTGTTGTGCCATCCACGTCACAATATCTTTCAAATGGTCTCCTTCCTTAAGATTCTCTAACTCAAATATGTATGCCCTGCATGCTACATATCCCACCCAGCTCATCTTCCTTGTTTGAACTGCTTGGCTAATGCTCCAAATCTTTTGTTTATGCGCACTTCATTTTTTAGGGGAATTTGAAAAATGTTGTCTTATTGAGAATTCACCCAAGAAACCAATGAAACATAGAAGTAAAGAGAGTAATATGAATCCAAACAGACCTGTATTGCTGTTGTTCCTGCTGCTGCTGTTGCTGTTGGGTGCCAAATGAGATTACGCCAATCTTCTCTCCGCTGGCAACCCTGCCGGGAGGAGCCTGCAGTTAAAGCATGGCACATTTACCCTCTTGTTAAACAAGAAGTCATAATTTGGGTTCAGTTTAACAACTGTGAATACCTTCAGGGTTTCACCAGTTAACTTCCAGGGTTACTGATAATGAATTAATGAGGATGGTTGACTGATAATTTATGCCATCTTTTGGTATGGTAGTTAATTATACTGAAACACAAGGAGATTCCCATTATATTGGTGTGCTTTTTGCTTCTGTAATTAGTTATGGTTTGAATATTGATTTATGGTTTCTTTAATGACACTGTCATACATGTCACACACATACATACGTACATACATTACATTCCGTAGACCCAAAGTAAGTCAGAATGACTGCAGGATGTGGAACAAGTCATACAAATACAAAAGCCATAAATACAGTACAACTGAGACACAACAAAATATATATATATATATACGTCCACATATATAAGTCAGTACTGTCAACTTATGCTATGTACATAACCTTTTAAAAGGATGAGTCATTTTTAGATAGTAGGAATTCATGAACAGAGTAGACTGAGTGTGTGTTTCAGTGCTCCTTTAAATTGCACCTTTTCATTCATTGGACATCTGAGACTAGATGCCAGCTTGTTGGAAATGTTAATGCCAGAATAATATGCGCTTTTCTGAAAACATGTCAGGATAACAACCGGTCTCTGGAGATGGTGCTTGTTTCTCGTGTTAACACTGTGCACTTCCGAATTGGTCTGAAAACATGTCAGGTTAGCAACCGGTCTATGGAGATGGTGCTTGTTTCTTGTGTTAACTATGTGTACATCCGAATTGGTCTGAAAACATGTCAGGTTAGCAACCGGTCTATGGAGATGGTGCTTGTTTCTTGTGTTAACTATGTGTACATCCGAATTGGTCTGAAAACATGTCAGGTTAGCAACCGGTCTATGGAGATGGTGCTTGTTTCTTGTGTTAACTATGTGTACATCCGAATTGGTCTGAAAACATGTCAGGTTAGCAACCGGTCTATGGAGATGGTGCTTGTTTCTTGTGTTAACTATGTGTACATCCGAATTGGTCTGAAAACATGTCAGGTTAGCAACCGGTCTATGGAGATGGTGCTTGTTTCTTGTGTTAACTATGTGTACATCCGAATTGGTCTGAAAACATGTCAGGTTAGCAACCGGTCTATGGAGATGGTGCTTGTTTCTTGTGTTAACTATGTGTACATCCGAATTGGTCTGAAAACATGTCAGGTTAGCAACCGGTCTATGGAGATGGTGCTTGTTTCTTGTGTTAACTATGTGTACATCCGAATTGGTCTGAAAACATGTCAGGTTAGCAACCGGTCTATGGAGATGGTGCTTGTTTCTTGTGTTAACTATGTGTACATCCGAATTGGTCTGAAAACATGTCAGGTTAGCAACCGGTCTATGGAGATGGTGCTTGTTTCTTGTGTTAACTATGTGTACATCCGAATTGGTCTGAAAACATGTCAGGTTAGCAACCGGTCTATGGAGATGGTGCTTGTTTCTTGTGTTAACTATGTGTACATCCGAATTGGTCTGAAAACATGTCAGGTTAGCAACCGGTCTATGGAGATGGTGCTTGTTTCTTGTGTTAACTATGTGTACATCCGAATTGGTCTGAAAACATGTCAGGTTAGCAACCGGTCTATGGAGATGGTGCTTGTTTCTTGTGTTAACACTGTGCACTTCCGAATTGGTCTGAAAATGTTCTTGCTTATGTATAATGAAGCTTAGTTATGAAAATATATATCCATATGGAAGAGGTAAGATCTGTAATCTCTTAAATAGCTCTCTATAAAAATTTTTGAGGTTTTATGCCCACCATGATTTTAACAATTTTCTTTTGTAATGTAAACACCTTTTTGCTTTCAGATGAGTTACCACAAAATATTATTCCATACTTCACTATAGAGTGAAAGTAGGCAAAATAAACTGATTTCACTGTATCACTGTTGCTGACATGTAACAAAGCTCTTACTGTATAACATCCCCCACTTAACTTTGGAACCAACTGATCGATATGGTATTTTCAGTTTAAGTGGTTATCATTTGTAAGCCAAGGAATTTTGTGTATACTGACTCTTCTATATATTTATTATTATATCCAATGCTTAGTGGATATTGAGGTGTATTATTTGTTATAAAGTTTATTATATTTATTGTATATATATTGTGTCTAATGTTATGCTGATTAATGAATTGGAAATTTTGGGAAAGGGTGGTGAACACATCCTTGCGTTTCTCCAGAGAGACTGAGGCCAACCACAAAAACCTCAGTCAGGATAGCCAGTACCTTCACTGATACTCAGATTGTATCCAAAATAAGAATCAGTAGTGTTACCACTTGAGCCAGTTTGTTAGGTGTGGTTGTTTATGACAGGCAACCATGCACATCAACCAAATCTGAACACAGATTTTTGTGTATTCTTTCCATGAAGTATATAAAAAAGAACTCATGATATGGTCATGCCTATGTGTGAGCATCTTTCAAATGCAAAACTACTTATTGGAATTTGATGAAATCTGTGCCAAAGTTTCTGAGAAAGTACAATTTTGATTCATATTAGTTCAGTATAAATCCCTACTTTGCATCTGCTGTACAAAATTGCATTAATGTAAAATGTAGGTCTTACTGAGATATACAACTTTTATTTGGAGAATATTTGGTGAATATTTGGATACAGTGAAAAGTCATTCGAATTAACCTTTAAGTGCCGAAGTGCCCCGTTTGTGCCAGTGGTGAGTAAGGTCGTAGTGGTGAAAGTACCCAGTTTTGGCCATTCGGGCATTTAAACTCCGCTAGGGGAAGCGCGCGCACACGCCGCTAGTAGAAGCGAATGCACAGTCCTAATTATTTATTTTTAAATGTAGTAATTACCAGACAGACTTGAGTAAAGCCCTAATAGAAAAATTAAAATGATACCTAGGTGAACAACAACAAAAAGAGTATACGTATGAGTTATGCCCAAACTCATCCATGAGCCAGTACTTTTATTGCAGATTCTGCAGATTAATGTGTTAAAAATATACAGTAAAATTCGATGTACATACCTTTTTTGTTGTTATCTGCTTGATGTATATCTAGGCTGAAATAAAACTACAGTATTCGATTTCACTAAGCACGCACAGAAAACAGACCGCACTCTGAATCTCAGCCGCGATGCAGCTGTGTATTCAGGCCCATAGAAAGGGCAATAAGCTTTTGCAGCTATAACGGAAGGTCTTGGAACTGAAGAAGGGACCTCTCTAGCTTTCTCTTGAATAGCCATTCTTTCATTCTTCTGACCTTCAGTCAAAAGATTCGAAAATCCGAAGAGTGTAAGCAGTGCTAGCAGAAGGCCAAATGATTTTATTGCTTCCATCTGTTTTATGACATCAGGGACTGCTAAAATTTGTCAAGTGTTACAAACAGAAATAAATTTGTAATGCAGAACAACTCTGTGAAGAACTGGGAAATCATTTTTGCAGTACTCATCAAAATTAAAAACAAAAAATTGAAAATGGAGTATAATTTGTATAAAAAATTTCAAATCTTCCGTTATAATATGCGACACTATGTTCTTTGCTGATACAAACAAAATTAATTCCATCCATTTATCATAAAAATTGAGTTAGATACAGCATTTTTAAACACAATGCTTAAAATTGTTTACGCGCTATAACAGGAACGGACGTTTAAAGGCAGAGTACCAACGGGCATTTAAACGCGCACCAGCAGCGGGCATTTAAATAAACTCCGGCCAGCTCAAGCTTACCACTATTTCAGAAGTCCGGCGTTTAAAGGTTAATGAAAATAATTTATAAGATTTCACAGTGCACTTACTGTTTGCAACAGTAGATTTGTTTGTGCTTTACATGAACACAAAAATGAAAGAGAAAAAGATCAAATTCATGTACTGACTCATATCTTCACTCTTGTTTATCACTCTTCAATACACACCACTTATAAGTATTATCTGTAACAGGCTTCCTCAAAATACTGGGATTTTCCGCTTACGCCCCTCTCATGTCCAGTTTCTGAGCCTGGCATTAGCCTCTGTGTGTCAATAGGATACTGCTTGTACTTACTGGAATTGCGTTGGTGACCTGGTGTCGGAGGCCATCCCTGTCTCTTGCGACCTGCCCAACAGTTGAGGGTTGACCTCTGTACACTCTTTGTTGCCGGTCACTCTCTACTTCCTCTGCAGGACCCAGGTCATCAGCATACAGTTGGTGCTGTGGGTGATCATTCATTTCTTATTTTTTATCATGTTCTTAAACCAACATTCTAAAAGAATTTAAATTTTGTAAGAAAGAACTGCATATATTGATAATACTGTATGTGTTATACATATTTTCAACCATCACTAATAATAGATATCTTGTGTGTCATGTCTTTAAATATTATATTTGGTAGGAAAAGGAAGGGGGCGCGGATAATGCAGTCAGTACAGCGACTGGCTATGGGCTGCACAACTAACAGGTCAGAGTTCGAGTCTGAGTAGGGGCAAGAATTTTCTCCAAGTCATTGAGATTGGTTCTGGGGCCCACCCAGCCTCATATCCAATGGTTATCAGGGGCTCTATTCCCAGGGGTAAGGTGGGCAGTGCATGAAGCTCACCACTCACTTCCAACTATTTTGGAGGTCAAAAAAAAGATCTGTTCGTCCACTCCCCCATATGCCTCCATGGCATAGTGCTTAATTAGTTATGCACAGGAACAAAAGTTTTAGGAAAAGGTAAATTTGTCCCTGTGCTTAATTAATTAAACACTATGCCATGGAGGTATAGCTCCTCCAGTCTTGACCTTGGAACTAGATGGAGGTGAATGATCAGCTTCATATCCAGGCCATTTTAAACACAGAGAAACTTTCATACAGTATGCGCCAAAAGATGTAGTACTGAAACTCGCGCATCTCAAACATGCATGTGCGTTTGTCAACGGGGCATAGCTCCAGCCGCATGTTTTCCCAGTAGTGAAAAGGAAGTTGTGTTGTGGAGTTGTTGGAAATGGGTCTCTTGACGGAGGAAAAAGTATTCATAGTTGAGTGTTATTTCCGCTCATATGGAAATGGCCGTGAAGGGCGACCGAGTTTGAATAAGGTGACAGAACAATTCCAAGAGAGATTTAATGAGACAGCACCAAGTAACACAGTTATTCTCTCTATTGGTGGGAAATTTCACCGTTCTAGTAGTGTACTGTGTCAACGGAAGGGGATGTCTGGTCAACCAGTAATTGTTTCGACAAAAGAGAATGAGGAAGGCAATGCTCTTACCGTCACCCAAGAAGACTACAGGGACATGGTGATCAGACCATTTCTTCAGGATTTGAGAAGGTGCTCTCATGCAAGGGGCCTTCACATGAATAGACAGTGGTATCAACAGGACAGGGCGACCAGCCATACTGGTCAAGTATCTCTAGCCATGCTGCAGAAGAACTTTCCAGGACAAATCATTTCACATGGTACTGACTTCCCATTCCCTGATGCCTACTTTTGGGGAATGTTAAAGGAGAGTGTGTTCAACTGTGAAGATCCACCAAGAACTGTGCCTGCATTATGCGAGCAAATCGTCTCCTTTTGCAGGAGTCTGCAGCAACCTCTGTTTCGCAATATGATAGAGAGTCTGTGTGAACGATATGAACACTGTCTAAAGTGAGGTGGTGCACACTTCAAACACTTACATTACGCATACCGTGGTAAATCAACACTCTAATAGTGTGTATGTTAGTTTCTTTCAAGAGAAATAAACTCACAGATGACAACAAGGTAATACTGTTCGTCTTTTCATTTCAGTACTGAATGTTTTGGTGCATACTGTATTTATGCATTCAACAAGTATTTACATATTCATCCATGAACTTAATTATAAGGACCAATAACTTATTTAGTATTTTATCCCTCAAACAATTGAATGCACAAAAGGTTTGCTACTAGTCAGGCAATGAATGAAGATAATGGTATATGATATTAAAATATATCAGTTTCCATATTTTGTGATATCACTTTAGTCATTTCAGTTCTTGAGTTCTCTTAAGTTGTTAATTTGTGTATTAGTTATAATCAGTAATTTGCATTAAATTTTGTATTCGCAAGTTTTAATTGGTAATTCTGAATTCTCTTATATTTTTTCTGATGTTCTATGATCAGTTATGTATAATTTATATTATTTGGTAAACATCAAATATTCATGCACTTGGATGAATTGCATTCATCTATTATTTGGTAAACAAGTGATAAAATTTTAAATATTAGCAAAAATTATGTTTTAGGCATGAGATTTTAATGTGACTTTATGGACCAGCTGGCATGTGGTGTTTGGCATCATGACACAAGAAAAGATCGACCATTTTAAATAATGAATGAATGAATGAATGTAAAAGGGGTGGGTCTTCTTGGCCCTTTCACCGCGACCACAGCGATCTACTGTGCCTCCCCTTCTGATTATTCCCTCAGCAATCCTGCGCATCGAATAAAGCGCAGGATTTTGTATGTGGGGATGTCGAAATAGTCACTTGGTTCCATAAAATATAGACTCAAGTGACATAATCTTAAACAAGCTAAGGCCTCACATTTGCACAGGATATGTCTGGCTGTTTCGTTTTCTTCTTGGCACCTCTCACAAGTGGGACTATCACTTAGTCCCAATTTGAAGAGGTGTCCTTTGAGGTGACAGTGTCCTGTAAGTAGCTGGTTCCTGTTTAACTTCAACGGTTCCTTCATTCTTTTAGTAGAGAGTCCTCGTATGAGTCCCTTTGCTTGCCTGAATGCAGTCAAGGATCCCCAGTATTTCTTGTGCTTCATATTTGTCCAGTCCCTGATCGCCTGTCTGGCAACTCCTATAGAGATGCCACAGGCTGGTTCAGGTCCACCATTTTAAGTAAGTATAACATGTTATTTCTGAACCATTAGGATCGCGGTTGGACCAAAATGACAGTAATTTCTGTATTTGTATAGGAATTAACTAACAGTTAGCTGAGTAGAGTTAGCTACCAGGATGGAAAGGATGTTAATGGTAAATCATGCTCAGAAGCATGTGAAGTAAAAATTATTCGAGGTCTAAATAGAAGTGGAGTATAAGCTGATATTTTAAAAGATGAAGAGCTTGCTTGCTGTCTGCTTCATGCTGGTTTATTGCTTGGCTTACTCTTTGATTCTCTAGAGCAGGCATGTCCAACTTCAAACAGGGTCTGATCGACTTTTTAGTGTCAAAACTGCCAGTGATCTACCACCCCCTCCTATCGCCGTACCTCGCTTTAAGCGGAAATATTTGTAAAAATAACATGACACATGATGTTTGTTGTAAAAGCAACTAGTAACAGGGCTGTCTCTGATGTCTGTAACTTCATCCAGTTGGAGGGAAAAAGCAACACAAATGGAAACATCTTTCAGCAACTGTTCAGTTATGTTTCCACACATCATTTCTATTCGCCGCACAGTGGTGTTTCTTGATAATTGAAGATCTTGAATAGTAGCTATGATCTCTTGCTTATTTTATATTACAAGTGAGTTTACATGCTTGTCACATATAATTTCCTTATAGGCCCATAAGATCCACCAAATATCATCCCGCGATTGACGCGTTGGACATGCCTGCTCTAGATGAAGGCAAAATGTTCCTTGAAAATGTCAGTCAATTTTCAGTGGACTACACAATGTTATACCCCAGAAGACAGTCCTCCTCATAGTCACTACTGCAAGATCCTCAGATTCGAATTTATTTCAGGTTTAGTAACTAATATAAGTTTTTTCGGTGTGCTGATATGTGGTTTTACATTTAATGACAGTATGCCATAGTATTATATATATATATATATATTACTTTGCCTAAAAACTTGAGATAAGTGACCTGTATTAATTTCTGATTATTATAACTTTTCATGTAATAAACTTAAATAACAACTAAGTTTTCCATGCAACCTGGAGAATGATAAGTTCACAAAATGACTAAGCAGTCTTAACCATATTTGTAATGGATGAATTTTAAGTGGTGCTTTCACAGGCTACATTTCAGGGATTCAGCAAAAGGCAAAGATGGATATGAAATGAAGCACTGTTTCCTATAGATGCAATGTTATATTTTCAACATGCCTCCTGAATAATGTTTTCTTCAAAATCATCTTACATTAACACTCTAACGTTTCCTTTTCCCACCATAATGAAAGACTGCAACTGTTTCAATTGCTTTAAAGTCAGTGCCAATAACTTTTATTTCACAACAAAGAAAATTAAAATTAGGCAAAGTGAAAATGTGAATGCTGCCGGTTTGACAATGTGTGATATCACTGAAGAACGGAATAAAAAAGAAGTGAGCCAATTTGGGGGGGATATATACATATATAATTTAAATGTGATAACTTTTGTACTAGCTTAGCAATTGTAAATATGGATGGAGCTGATTATACTTAATGTTATGAAATCATGTAATCGAAAAATACAGAGCAGCAGGTCCTTTCTTCATTACATATTAAATTAATCATTAGCTCTGTCCATAGCTGCAGTAACAATGCCTCACCTTTGCAATCTCTTCTTGCTGCTGGCGTTGTTGTTGTTCCCGTTGTTGCTGTTGCTGCTGTTGCTGTTGTCCTCTAGAGATGGATACAGTCCTAGAAATGAAGGAATGAATATGCTATATTTGTATCACTGCTTTAAATTAGGGCATACTTAATTTCTTTTGGGTTTTAGTAAATTTGATTTGATCTAATGAGATTTTGTCTCTTTTCAGCATTAGTTAATTATCCTGGTGCCTGAAAACCTTCGTATTTGTTTTAATATGACAGAATCATTTATTCTATGAAAGGAGCAGTGTATCTTTGTATACATTTTCTTGAATCTTGGCTAATGCATCACAGAGTTTTGGGAGAGAGACCTCTGTTGTAGTTCTGGTTGTCATAATTCATATTTCATATTACCAGAATTGGTATTTGATGTTAAAAGTTCATAATGGGGTGTGTATACATTTCACAGTGTGTGTCTTTCTGACTGCCTAATACTTGACTATTTCTTTAGTAACAGAACCTGATGGTCTGACACCAGTAAAATCAAAGCCAAATTTAGACATTTAGATCTTCCCATTCAGCTGTCATTCTCACAACGTTTTCTAGAATTCACTTCCACAGTTAAGAGAAGTCATACCTAGGTAACTTGTTCCTCATCAATTCACTGGACACAGAGCTTGTATGGAATGGTTCCTGAGGTCACCAGATCTCACATTCATAGATTCTTTTTTCTTCTGATTGTTTGTTAAGGATGATCTTTAGTACCTTCATTGCTCAAGAAATGGACCACAGAGGCCTATGCAAAAATTAACGACAATACTGTCCAGAAAGTATGGCAGGAATTTGACTATTGGTTTGAGATTGCTTGAGCCATTTGTTTCTCATAAATCTAACACTATTAGTGATGTGCGTATTTTTTGAGTCAATGGATTAGATGTTGCAGTTGGTTTGTATTTCTTAACTGTATTTTAGATGTGCTCTGAGCCGCTAAAGATTGAACTTATGAAGATAATTGACGGGCCTCTTGAATTATGTTTCCATCTATTTTTCGTTCTTCCAAATTATAAATTTTGAATAGACTTTCCACATAAAATTTCTACATCCATTACTTGTATAATCTAATCTGCATATCCAATACACTGCAACCTTCAGTTGAACTTCAGGAATGCTAAATGATTTGTATATATCACAGATTTCTTCATTATATAATATCCCTTGTTAGTACTTTAGTTCCATAAATTTTCCTGAGAATGCTGGTTTCAAAAGCTTGTAATGCAAGTGTCCTACCCTCAAATAGTGTACCACAGTTCACATTATTTTTTTTTTTCCTTCTCTTCCTTTATTGACAATCAGATTGTACAATCTGCAAGCCAGTGTGCCGATTGGTGTACAGTATAAAAGCTGAGTGTACACTCTTCATGGCGTGAGCAGAATAAACATCCAGTGGTGTTTTCCTCAGTTCCTTAAATCTGGTGGCCAAATTCTTTTGAGTCTTCAATTTTGGTGAGGTTGTAGTAGTGGTTGAAGAAGAGGGTTGGAGTGATTTTATAGTTTGTTGAAGTACTTGGTGCTGTTTTCTCAGATGACTTCTGTTACGTAAGGAGTATTTAGATCTGTATGTAGGGTGTGATTGAATACATACCATGGTGCGTTTGTGATGGTTCAGAGTACTTTGGACTGTGTACGCTGTATAATGGCAATGTTGGATTTGCTGGAGCAGCCCCAGAGTTCTATGCCATATGTCCATATAGGCTTCATGACTGTCTTGTAGATTAGTAACTTTTCGATGGAGATATGGGATTTTCTTCCTGTGAGCCAGTTGAGTTCTTTGGTTTTTTTGGTCCATTTTTTTCTTTTCTTGATTATGTGTTGTCTTCAGTTTAGTTTCTTGTCAAAGGTTATTCCTATGTATCCATAATGTGTATATATTAACCGTCTTTTAATGCATACAGTTTCACTTGTCTCTTCACACTACATGTTTCGGCATCATTCTGCCATCCTCAGGTGTATTAATCACGTTAAACCATTGCACTGCCTGCCATCAAGTGTCCATTTATAAAATGATATAAAATGTGTGTTCGTCGTTGTTCAATAATAAAATTTATGTATTAAAACTTGTTAAGATCTATCATCTTACATGTCGTATATGAAATGTGTGTAATGTCATTCATCCACTATGGGATTCGTTCTTCTTATGTATTAATTGTGTATATACTGTGTCTTATGATGTGTCTTTCTTATGTGGCTGCATGCGTTGTATTGCTGGACGTATGTGACACATACATCCAGCAATACCACAATACCACCAGCTAAAGTTTTTTTCTTTTTGCTGATAATAGCAGTATTTTGGTTACCAGTAATAATCATGCTGAGCTTAAGCATAAAGTCATGGGTACACTGTCTCTTATTGTAAATTGGTTCACAGCTAATAAGTTGCCCTTAAATATCACTAAAACTAATNGGGACCTAGAGACTCATGTAGGGATCTTTTTAAGAAATTGAATATACTGCCATTGTCATGTGAATACATTCTCTCGTTGATGATGTTTGTGATTGATAATCAAACTAAATTTTGTACAGGTTTAGATGTTCATGGTTTGAATACAAGAAATTGAAAGCAATTATATTTGCCAAACTCAGATCTCTCTGCATTTCAGAAAGGTACTATGTTTACCACTATTAAACTGTTCAAGAGATTGCCCATAACCATTCAAAGCCTTAAAGAGGATAGAATTAGTTTTAAAAATAAGCTGTCTTTATATCTTATGAATAATTCCTTTTATACAGTTTCTGAATATGTGGAGCATAACATAAACAATTAGTTTTAATTATTCTGTTATCTGTGTGTTTGTCTAAATATTTTGTATTTGTTTTTTTTATATGATGACCTTCATGTCCATTTGGTTTGGACTTGTGAAATGAAATGTATGTATGTAGTTCGTTAGTTATGGTATTTTCTATGTGATGGCTTTGTTGGATGGTTGAGTGGGCTTATCAAAAACCAGACTGGTGGTTTGGTATCCATGTTTGTGGGTTTGATTCTTGGTTTAATTTGTTGAGTAATAGTTTTTCGAGGACTTTTGAAATTGTAGGTAGAAGGCTTATTGGTCGGTAGGATGTGACATCTGTTGGATTTCTGCCTGGTTTCAAGATCATCATTTGGGCAATTTTGAGTGGACGAGGCCAATAGTCCAGTATAAGTATGGCGTTGAATATGTATAGAAATTGTATTTGGTCTTTCCTTGGTAAATGTTTTAGTATTACGGCTATGATGTTATCATGGCCTGGCACCTTGTTTGGCTTTAAAGTGTTTATTGCTTCTTGCATTTCTTTAGGGTAAAGAGCTTTGGTCTTTGGTGTTTTGTATGGGTTCATTTAGAAGTAAGTTTACTTCTTGTACTTGATTATTGTTGTGTGGAGTGAATACTTCTTGTAGATGTTGTGCAAATAGGTCAGCTTTATCTTTGTCGTTTCTTGCCCAGTTTCCTGGGGGTGATGTGAATTTGCATATTGGTGGTGATGCTGATATGGGCTTTCTTTTGTTTTTTATTGGTTTCCAAATGGAATTGTCCTGTCTTGTGAGGTTTGCGGTATAGTTCTCGAATGATCCATTCTCTAATTCTTGTAATTGCGTTTTTAGCGTATTGCTGATTTTGTTGTTTTTTGCTCTGTTTTCCAGAGTGTGAGTCCTCTGCCAGGTTGATCTGGCCCCTCCCTTTCCGCTATTATTTTTTTTTTATTCTTAACGGTATGTTATTTGTAAGGTTCTTTGGATCATTTATGGGGGTTGCCTGTTTTGGCGGCTTCTTGTATTAGGGTGATGAAATTTTTACATTCGTTTTCAATGTCGGTTGGATCTTTCAGCTTAATATTTAGTTTTATGTTGTCTTCTATTATTTTCCTGAAGAGATTCCAGTTTGCTTTGGAGTTGTGAAGTCTGGGCTTGGATTTCCTTAGTATAACTGATGTGCTTATTGTTGCAATGATCGGATGTCCGATGTTAGGTCAAGGTTTGCAGTTGCGTTTATGTAGTTAGGAGAGATGCCGTTTGTTATGAAGAAGTCTAGTAAGTCGGGAATTTTATTTTCATCGGTGGGCCAGTATGTTGGTGTTCCAGTTGATATGATGAAGTAATTGTTATTTTGGATTGTCTTGTGTAGTTCTCTGCCTTTGTTGTTATGAGTCTTGAACCCCAAAATGTGTGCTTGCTGTTGTAGTCTCCGCCAGCTATAAATTTTGTACCCAGGGTTTGGAAGAATGACTCGAAGTGGTTTCTCTTGAGGCTATAGCAGGGATGACAATAGACGGCGGTAATGGTGAAATCACAAAGAAAGGTTTTGACTTTGATGGAAGTGACTTGTATGTGATGTTTTTCATATTTTTGTAGTTCATGATATTCAATTTTTTCTTTGATTAGGATTGCAGTGCCTCTGTGGGCTGTGTCTTCGGGGTGGTTTGTGTGGTAAAGCTTGTATTTGGGGATATTAAAGTAGCTTCTGCTAGTGAAGTGGGTTTCGCTGCTTAGCAGGATGTTGATTGAGTTTATGTTTAGAAATATTTTTATATCTTCTTGGTGATTTGGAAGTCCATTGGCGTTCCTTTGGGTTATTCTTAGGAATCTGGCCATTTATTTCGTTTTGTTGATGAGTGTTGTTAGCATGTTTAGTACCATAGTATTTTGTTGTAGTAATTGTTGAATTAAATTTTTTAATTCATCTAGGAATTTTGCTAATATTTTTACTATTTTATTTTGGAGTCCTGTTATTTCATAGATCTTTTTATTGTTTTGGGCTGGCTCTAGGTCTACAAAGAATAGGTTCAATGGCTCTTTAGTAGCTTTATGATATACGTTGATTGTATTTCTGACTCTGTGTCCTAGTTCCACTAGTTCTTGTTTTATGTCTTCTATTTTTGTTGAGTGATGAAGGTATCTTATTACTATTCTATATGCTCATTCTTCCTTCAGTTGGTAAGTAGTTCACATTCATGTGTAACAACTGATTATGAAGGTACACAATTGAGAAGGGCATTTTCATGATAGTGTTTCTGGGTTGGAGAACCTTAAAGTCTTAATGGTGGATGCTAATATTTCAGCAGAAAATACTGTCTGCATCTTCAGGGTTGAAGTGGGCTTTTGAGGATAAAGGCAACATGTTCTTCCAAAGCATTGTTATCTACTGATAAGACTAAATGGCATCAGAATCCAGAAGATCATGACTTACCTTGATGATGACCCTGTGGGAGTGGTTTGTCTGGTCCTGGGATCAGTGACCCTAACTGTGCTGATTGTTGCACTTTCACCATCAGCTCCACATCCAACATTGCGTGGCCAGTCACAAGTCTGGAGCTCATGGCTGTAAACAGAAGTTAGATTCTGGAATATTATTGTAACATGATTAACCTTCCATAACATTAAATCCTCCTGTCTTTTGTTTCCTACTGTCCTGTCTCTGTGGTGGATCCTGCAACGCCACACAAGATTTAATGTATAAACCAATGTATATTTACTGCTTTTGTTGCCTGTACAAAATCATATATGGTTTAATTCATAAATTGATTTATTTGATATATAAAAATCTTTCCACCATGTGGCACCATTGTAAAAAATAACATAATATATCTGGTGCCCCATTCTTTTGTTTTTAGAATCTTAATTTAATGATTAATTCATTGCTTGTTTCTTGCAGTGAACTATTTTTTCTTATTGCTAGTGTGGTGGGACTAAGTCCCTTGTACTGTGGCCACTTCTGGCCTATTGTACCAGCCCCAGATGATAGGTGTGGGTGATTGTGAAGCAATTGGTGGAATGAAGATTGGCAGGGGAAACCGAAGTCCTTGGAGAAAACCTGCCCCAGCGCCACTTTGTCCACCACAAATTCCATTTGACCATAGCCGGGATCGGGAAGCCAGCGACTAACCACTTGTGCTATGGCGCGGCCATGCAGTGAACTAACTTTCATGTGTCAGTTTATGGGTTAAAGTATCCAGTTACTGTGTGAGATCTGTCTTCTTGCATGTGTCGCTGTGTAGTTTCTTCAGAGATGGAGATTGCAGATTTGTGCTGACACACTGAACTGCATAGTGTTACATCCCAGAATAAAGCAATACTCATGCCCCTGTATTGTTTACATATTCCAAGAAGTTCATTGAAAACTTATAGAGTAGATTAATCAATAAATACGCGATTATGGCCATTGAATTTATTAAATATATATATTAAAGAAATAAGAGATTGTATAATTTGTATATAGTTTACTTAAGAAAAACCCGTGTGAACAATTGGAACTTTAATTATACAGTCAGTCAGTAGTAAATTGTATAAGACATGGATATAAGATTTGTATTCACAGTTGTGTTGTCTTGTGTAGTCAAACAAATGTAACCAATATAGCATAGTTAATTCAAATGACTACTGCTGACATGAGCACGATAAAATGCAATGGTATGAAGACATCTGGGACGTGAAGGATGTAATACAAACTGTGGTGCATTCTTTGTGATTTTGTATACCTCATCAATCTTCATGTCTATCAGATACAGAAACATTACTATCCCTGTAATAGGCCGTGGAGGCCCATATGATTGTGAGATGTCGATGAACCCACATTTTCTTCAGACAGTTGGCTCACAGATGGCAGTGAGGTTGTCAGCCTTATGAGTCGACCAGCCTTTACCCCCAGGAAGATTTCTGGTACTCATTTCTATTAGGGGCTGAGTCGACCCTAAGGCCATATTGCAGCTAGAAGAACTAGGTCAACTGAAAAATCCAGTGACCTCATTTGGAATCAAACCCGCGACCTCCTGGCTTGTAAGCATAGTGCCTCAACCAACTATATTATTGTGTACCCCCAGAATGGAAGGCGTAGAACACAGAATCCCTTAAGTTTATGAAATGTACAGAGTGCTGTTGGTGAAATATTTTTGAGAAATCAGATTTGTTTTTAATCGCATGGAAGATTGGCTAACTGGTATACCAGCATGATGCAGGCTGCAGTGAAGATTCTTAATATGCGTTTCTAATACCAATCACATGTATGCTGGATATGTTCGGGCCTGAAAGACAGACATGCTATCACCTACATGAACTTTGTGCAGTTATAAGTGAACCATTTACAAATTTATAACAAAATTCCTCACCTATGCATATGCCCCCAGTGTGACAAGGTTTCTTACCTGTACATAAGCCCTCCAGTACATGACTCAAGCAGTGCATCACCGAACACACAGACATAGTATTGTGTGCAGTCACTAGGGTGTGGATAGTAGCCAAAATCTTCTGGACAGTCAAATTCCACAGCCTGCTGCCCACTCGCGCCAACACGGCCCCTCCTCTGCTGGCCCACACTTGGTTCTGCATCAGAAATAATAATCTTTGTTTAGCTATTGTTAATTTAATGACACTGCCAATATCTCGGGCTACATAGTCTTGAGTAGTAGGATGGTTGCTGCAGGAAAGAATGTGCAGTAATTTGCTGTAATATTCTGGAATTTACTTGAACTAAGGACAACTGTGATAAAACTAAGTTAAGACAGTAGGTGTCCCGGCCTGAGCCACTTAGTAGGAAGTAGCAGTTGCAGATATCTGCGGAGTTGTAACATCGTGTAGTCCGCTGAAAGTCAACCGCCGTTTGCTTGCTCTGCTCGCTACCTGTTTCACGGCGATATGTTCCTCCTAAACGTCGGTTGGCTTTCAGCAGACTTCGAGGCGTTATATCCAGAAAATTGAACACTTCATAGCCACCACTGTGAGAACCTGACATTCTAAATAATAATATTAATGATGATGACGCCGCCGCCAGTGTTAGCAGCGATAATGCAATCATTCTCACAACTTCCTCCTACTGTGCATTCTCGGAGGCACGAGACTTTACTATCGCTATGCACCCCGACAGAAAGGTCGTTCCATGGTTTTATTCAGTCTTCCTGGGTAAATTTTAAGTAGGTATCTATAAATAGGTGGCGACATCATCTTCTGAACTCCTCCCCCATCCCTTGATGACGAACCTGCCATGCGAGTCACGGATTCAGGCGGAAGCTCTCAACGCGACGCGAACATAATCGATTTCAGGAATCAACCTTAAATTCTATGGGAGTGTGGTAAAACCTTGGCCTTATAATATACGTAATTTCAAAAGTTTATCAAATTTTACGCACTAAATACTGAATTTCTGAATGCTGATACAGTTTTTGGTAATGATACTTTTCAGGGCTTTACGATCAGGGTTGGTTCAATAGAAATCCGTTCTTGAGTGATGCTCGAATATACAGATTATGTGTGAAGAGGACAGGGCGTGACACTGACCACTCACTTCCTTCTAATGCCAAAGTTAAGAATATGTGGAGATATCTCAGTTCTCCCATACGCCTTAACAGTGTAATGCTTAATTAAGTAACGGGGAAACTTATATGTGCTGCAGTTGCACCGAGCAATAGAAACTTGCGTCCACTGGCGCGCCGGATGGCTCTCTTTTATAATTTCAAATTACGAAAGCCTTTGCTTCTCAAAGTTATAATGGAGTCTGTGTCCCCGGAGTGCGGTCTGAAGAGAGCGAAACATTAACATGAAAGGGAAAAGACCGAACTTCCTTCAGAACACTTAAACAGAACACGAAAAAGGATGCGTCAAGGGTTGATTTGTAACTGCTTATGATCAGGTTTCTGTTGAACATTTGTAAGAAAATGCTGGTAATTAATTATACAGTTCATTAATACTTCGGCTATTGTATTTTGTGTTAACATGATGCTATTTGTGGAGGCACCGTGATATACATTATGTGACTAAAAGGGTGAAATATGCTTTTGTACTGCCGGGGTTCGATTTCCAGAAGAAATACTGGAATTTTATGCTCATCACTACATCCAAGACAACTACGGAAGCAACTGAGCCCTCGAGCACCTGCGACGGTAAATCGGCCCGATAGGAAAGCTGACCACTCATTTCCATTTAACCGTGTTAACCATGCTGACCCTTTACCTCCATCTAACGCCGAGGTCAAGGATGCTGGAGCTATACCACCACTCTCCTAAGGATCACTTTATCTCTACCTTTACCGGCATAAAATGGCTAAGCTCAGAGCTGAGCATCCAACACGGTCTAGTACCGAAGCGCCAAGCATAAAACGCATATAGTGGCCACAGGTCAGCTTAACATCTCCAGGGAAACAGCCTCCTGTACTCACTGCCGGGAACCGAACCCGATTCCTCGGTCGTCCAACCCGTAGCCTAGTCGCTGTACCGACTGAGATATCCTGGCTCCTCACGTCCAGCCCATAGCATAGTCGCTGTACCGACTGAGCTATCCCGGCTCCTCACGTCCAGCCCGTAGCCAGTCGCTATACTAACTGAGCTATTCCGGCTCCTCACGTACAGCCCGTAGCCAGTCGCTATACTGACTGCGCTATCCCGGCTCCTCACGTCCAGCCCGTAGCCAGTCGCTATACCGACTGCGCTATCCCGGCTCCTCACGTCCAGCCCGTAGCCAGTCGCTATACCGACTGCGCTATCCCGGCTCCTCACGTCCAGCCCGTAGCCAGTCGCTATACCGACTGCGCTATCCCGGCTCCTCACGTCCAGCCCGTAGCCAGTCGCTATACCGACTGCGCTATCCCGGCTCCTCACGTCCAGCCCGTAGCCAGTCGCTATACCGACTGCGCTATCCCGGCTCCTCACGTCCAGCCCGTAGCCAGTCGCTATACCGACTGCGCTATCCCGGCTCCTCACGTCCAGCCCGTAGCCAGTCGCTATACCGACTGCGCTATCCCGGCTCCTCACGTCCAGCCCGTAGCCAGTCGCTATACCGACTGCGCTATCCCGGCTCCTCACGTCCAGCCCGTAGCCAGTCGCTATACCGACTGCGCTATCCCGGCTCCTCACGTCCAGCCCGTAGCCAGTCGCTATACCGACTGCGCTATCCCGGCTCCTCACGTCCAGCCCGTAGCCAGTCGCTATACCGACTGCGCTATCCCGGCTCCTCACGTCCAGCCCGTAGCCAGTCGCTATACCGACTGCGCTATCCCGGCTCCTCACGTCCAGCCCGTAGCCAGTCGCTATACCGACTGCGCTATCCCGGCTCCTCACGTCCAGCCCGTAGCCAGTCGCTATACCGACTGCGCTATCCCGGCTCCTCACGTCCAGCCCGTAGCCAGTCGCTATACCGACTGCGCTATCCCGGCTCCTCACGTCCAGCCCGTAGCCAGTCGCTATACCGACTGCGCTATCCCGGCTCCTCACGTCCAGCCCGTAGCCAGTCGCTATACCGACTGCGCTATCCCGGCTCCTCACGTCCAGCCCGTAGCCAGTCGCTATACCGACTGCGCTATCCCGGCTCCTCACGTCCAGCCCGTAGCCAGTCGCTATACCGACTGCGCTATCCCGGCTCCTCACGTCCAGCCCGTAGCCAGTCGCTATACCGACTGCGCTATCCCGGCTCCTCACGTCCAGCCCGTAGCCAGTCGCTATACCGACTGCGCTATCCCGGCTCCTCACGTCCAGCCCGTAGCCAGTCGCTATACCGACTGCGCTATCCCGGCTCCTCACGTCCAGCCCGTAGCCAGTCGCTATACCGACTGCGCTATCCCGGCTCCTCACGTCCAGCCCGTAGCCAGTCGCTATACCGACTGCGCTATCCCGGCTCCTCACGTCCAGCCCGTAGCCAGTCGCTATACTGACTGCGCTATCCCGGCTCTTAAATCGAGTATATGAAATGGGAAATGAGAGAGTAAGACAGTTGTGGCGCTTAGGCCTACTGTTCTCACGGCGATGCGTATACCAAATCACCAAAATGTACGAAATCACATCCCAGAAGACAACAAACCTAGTCTTAATAACAGGTTTTGTTTCGAAAGTTCAAGCGAATGTTGTATGTATAGATGGCAGGATAATATTGCAATGTATCTTGGAGGCACTTGTTATGAGATGTGGATTGGATTCAGCTTGCTAAGACTAGGGGATTTTTAACATTGTAATAAACACTGGGTTTCATAAACACATGTGTTTTGTCCTGACGAGAAACTGTAAACTTTTTAAGCATATTCCCTATAACATGAATTAAGTTGAGTCCACGTTTATTTCTGTGAACACCCAGCAAAGGCTTTTGTACTGATAACAACCACTGCTGTTATCACTATCATAGTTTGGTTATCCCTCGGTGTAAAGGCCCGATAGCAACCATTGCAGTGGTTTTCTGTGGAGTGCCTGGTTTGTAAGCTCTGGTCATGTCTTTCTGTTCACCTGTCTAGCGCTGTAACAGCCTGCTTCGTAGAACTCCCGCTGTGGGACTGGAGTGCAGACGGCATGATCTGACGAGCCTTCCGTGAGGATACTCACAGGCTCTTACGCTCTGCAGGTACAGCTGTTTCTAATCTTTATTTCTGCATTTACTGAATAAATCAATAAACGTACAAAAAGCGACGATTCGTAAAACATAGAAAAGAAATAGTCAAGATCGCTTGCTGGCTGCATCGTCGGCCCTGCCTGCGTGCTTTTCTAATAAAAGTAACGAAAACTTCCTTTCCCTACTCGAGTTGCCCGCGTAATGATTGGCGCCTGTCTGCAGGCAGTAGAACGTTTCCGTTTGCTTCATATAGCAGAATCTCGTAACGCGGCCATCAGAATCGATCACTGGGAATGAAGGCAGCCAAACCGCCATCTTTTATTTTATTCCATTTTTATTGCTAGTGTGGTGGGACTAAGTCCCTTGTACTGCGGCCATTTCTGGCCTATTGTACCAGCCCCAGATGATAGGTGAGGGTGACTGTGGAGCAATTGGTGGAATGAAGATTGGCAAGGGAAACCGAAGTACTTGGAGAAAACCTGCCCCAGCGCCACTTTGTCCACCACAAATCCCACTTGACCAGACTCGGAATCGAACCCGGGCCGCCGCGGTGGGAAGCCAGCGACTAACCGCTTGAGCTATGGCGGGACATTAGCAGCCATCTTTACTTTATCTCTTTGTGTCGCCCTCTATCATCTTTTCCACGTGGACAGATGGCGCTACTAACGGATAATGTTTCCTCTCATTCGCTACATTTCCTGTCTAAAGTAACTGCAGGCTCACAAACGATTCTATTTAAACAAGAAGTAGCAATGAAAGATGCAGGTACAGCCAGCAAATGTACAAGTACAAAGGCAATTAAGAAGCATTCAGCTGTAGATGTACTGGAATTGCTCAGTCAGTAAAGGGGCTGGACGACCAGTATTCGATTCCTTGTAGATGCAGTAAATATTATCCTCTTTGTCACCACGATCAGGCTGTTGGGGCCCACCCAGAGTCCTGTCCAAGGTTAACGGGGATTCTTTTCTATGGGCCTAACATGGTCACTCACAATTCATGTTATATTGCAGCATCCTGTT